GAAACCCAAGGAGGGGTCGCTATGAGTCGAGTCCGACTCTATGGCACATAACAACAACAGAGAGCCTAGAGGGCAGAGTGGAACTGTCCCAGAGAGTTTCCAAGGCTGTCAATCTTTACAGAAACAGACTGCCTCATCTTTCTCTGTGGAGCAGCTGGTGGGTTCAGACTGCTGATTTTTGGTTGGCAGCGAATGTCTTACCCACCGCACCACCACAGCTCCTTAAACCTGGCCAAGGCTCCAGGTACTCACATTTCGAGGAAGATCTTCTCTGAACCCCCAAAGCCTCAGAGTTCACGGGAAGAGTGACATGGGAGGGGGTTCGCCTGGCCTCTGAGGGCCGGGTGTTTGAATGGCAGGCAGAGAGCACCAGGGCAGGCCTGGGGAAGGGGCTCTGAGTTCTCACCTGCTTGGGCTTCAGCTCCGGAAGGGGCTTGGCAGGAGCGGGGGGCCTGGGATGCTGAGAGAAAGGGGGTCAGCCCTCAGAGGCTGCCCTGCCCGGCAGCCCTGGGCCCAGACCTTTGAATGGCCAGGAGGCAGCACCTCTGCCACGGCTCCCTGGGTGGGCACTCCCGGCCTCGGGAGCTCAGGGCCGCTCCCTGGGGTCCCCTGCCCAAAGCAGCACCCTCCCAGCCGGGCCTGAATCCAGCTACCCTGACTCTCTCTCCTGGGACAGAGCAGCCAGCCCCCCACCCCAGCCATGAGCATACCTGCTCTGGGGTCTGCCGCTTGTACACAGGAACCGGGAAGGGTGGCCTGGACATGGCAGTGGGGGGCTGCAGGGAAGCGGATGGCCATGAGTGGGCAGCTGGGGTGCCCCTGTGGGGTGGCACTCTCCCTCTCACGCCTCTCAAGCCCCCCAGCCCTCAGATCTGAGTTCTTGCCCCTCCTCTAGAGGGGAGGAGAACCCAGCCAAGGGTGTGCTTTTGGGGTCTGCATCAGCCTTGCAGGGGTGTCCTAGGAAGGAGGGCATGTGTCCAGAACCTTTCGGGCGGGCGGTGGTCCTGTCTGCATTTCAGCCTCACTAGGCTCTCTAGGGAACATGATACTTACAGCAGGAGGTGGCTGCTTAGGGGTCACTGTGGAAGCCGAGGGTCTGGGGGGATGGGTGGTGGAGCTGCCCGCCGGTGGGCCGGTGGTGAGGGGTGCAGCACGGCTCTTGTTTGGTGGGCCGCGACCACTCCCCTTGTGGAACAGGGGGTTTGAGAGCCCCATGGAGGTGGAGGGAGCCGCACTTCTGGGCAGAAAGCAAAGCTGTGGTTAGTGGTGCCCTGGCTTGGGCATCCTGGCCAGGCACAAAGGAGGCACCTGGCTCCAGGGCCTCCAGCACCAGGCTGGTCGGGGAGCGCCCACAGAGCCACCTGGACGCACAGGGCAGTGGGGGGAGGGGCACCAAGCCACCTGGACGCACAGGGCAGTGGGGGGTGCAGTTGAGCCACAGCGCCACCGACGCACAGGGCAATGTGGGGGGCACAGAACCACCTGGATACACGGGGCAGGGAGGTGATGGGGCAGTCTGGGAGCTCGCTACCCTGACAGGCCTTGGGAGATGTGGTCAGGTGGGGCAAAGGCAGCACTCTGCAGCCGTCTTTGGGTTAAGGTCACTCCCAGTGCCAGCACCACAGGAGGCTCCCAGTGCCTCCGGGACACACAGGACCTGCACAGGTTTGCAACGTGGGTGTGGTCTCCACTTGCATTACACCACCACTAGGAGCTAAACTGTGACCACAAGAAGGGTTCAAGTCTGAATCCCAAGGCCCGTGAATGTGACCTTGGCAACAGGGTCTCTGCAGATGTAGTTAGACTATCACAAGGCCACTCAGGAGCAGGGTGGGTCCAAAGCCCTTACAAGAGGGGAGAATGAGACAGGCAGAAAATGGCAGGACCCGAAGAGTTAACTAAAACACACGCTGCAGGCCTTACCGCTGTGGCTAAAGGCTGACCTATGTCCTGGAACACGGGACAGAAGGAAGCAGGCAACCCACCCAGCTCCCTGCTCCCTATCTTGCAAGATCTACTGCAGGCGTTTGGGGCAACCTCACCTCCTCAGCTCCCCAAGCTTACACACATCGCCACAAGACGACCACCATATGACCTTCCTGGGGTGGCAGCATCGAGGCAAACTGAGCCGGGAATCAAACTGGCATCCCGAGGGACAGCGCATTCCTGCCACCCCTTCCAAGGAGACTACCACCCCTTCTCAGAAAATCCCCACCTGTTCCAAAACCCTTAAAACCCCAGCAAATCTCTGCTCAGGGTGACAAAGGCAACAGTTACTCAGCCCGTTTGTCTCTGCTCATGAACTACTTTCTCTGTCCCTTAATCAAAGCGTTGTTTGTGTGGAAGACCTGAGCCTCTCCTGTCACTCTCCATCAGCAGAAGGCAAAAGCCGATGGGCTGGCCCCTGACGGGAAAGGGCTCCCTGGGACACGAAGAGACACAGAGAGCAGAGGCAGTCCTGACAACCGCGGCCCCGCAGCTGCAAGCCAAGAGATGCCTGGGCCACCCAAAGCTGCAAGGGAAAGGGCAGGCTCTTGCCGAGGCTCTGAGGGAGTGCAGTACCCACACCCTGACCCCAGACTCAGCCCCCAGACTGGAGGGATGAGATGGGTTCTGACAAGCTGCCCAGTCCCCGGTGCTTGGGTACGGCACTGACCTGCATCAGAACTTGCCCCCTTGTTTGCTTAGGAGGGGCGGGGCCTCGGGGCCAGTGGAGTCTCAGGGACATGACCTGCTGCCCCAGGAATGGGGAGACAGGGGCCCTACAGTGCAGGCCCCCTTGTGCTGGCGCTGTGCCTGCAGCTGGTCCTTGTCTCCCCAATGGCAACAGCAAGCACAGTACACACGCATGCTCACACAAGCACACGTGTGCAGAGTGCACACACATGCACGTGCACACACATCCATGTAACCCAGCGCGCACACATGCACATAAGCACACGTGTACGGTACACACACGTACACAGGCACACAGTGCACATGTACACACTAGCACACACAGGCAGGCCCTCACCTCTTGTGGCCGTGACGCCAGGCCTTGCGGTAGAAGACGACGCCCAGCAGAATGAGCAGTGCCGCCAGCAGCAGCAGCACACCCACCAGTACTTCCGTGGACAGGCCCCCGGGTGCTGGCAGGGACATAAGGAACACCTGTCATCGGGGCTGGTGGTGCCAGGGAGCCCTCTCCACAGCAGGGGGCTTGTGCACAGACTCCACCTTGGCTGAGGCCCTCTGAGCCCAGGGCTGGCCTCCAAGGGCACCTGTCACTAACCTGCCCCCTGGGAGCTGGTGGCAGCCCCCACAGCCTAGCCCTGTCCAAGACCCCACCAGCAACGGACACCAGTGCTCTGGGGTCACTGGCAGCAGCCTGCAGGGCTGGGCTGTGGGGGGCCCCAGGCCCACAACGACATGGGTATGGCCGGGCCAGGCCCCGGAGGCCATGGTGCCATAGATGGCCACTGGGAAGAAGCCATTTGTGGAGGTGGACCACTGTGGAGGGTACTGAGGACTGTCCTGTGAGCCTCAGCCTAGCCCAGTCCCCCTCAGCCACTGCCTGCCCGTGTCTCCAGGACACTCCCGTGTAGGGCAGAGGAGGACGGGCTTCTGGGCCACATGCTAAGAGTACGCTGGAGAGCCATGAAGCCTGCGTTCACCAAAACTCCCGCAGCCCCGGCCCGGCTGTGCCTCCTGCCTCAGCACCCCGCGGCGGTCAGGGAAAGGGCCAGACTGCAGCAGCTGGGCACAGGCCTAAGGCTGTCAACTCCCACCTGCAGGGCCTCTGCATCTCCGCTGGGTGGGCACCCAGGCCTACCTATGTACGCGTCAGACACAGGCTTGCTACAGTGGGGGGCAGCCCAGCCCGGGCGGCAGTGGCATTCATTCTTGTGGTTGCACACCTAGAAGGACAGTCGGTCAGTGAGTGAGATGGGTAGGCGTTGGCAATATGGAGACCTCCAAGGGGCAGTGAGGGCCAGTCCTACCACACACAGGGGCTGCAGCCCAGATGCCCCTGCAGGACTGCCCCTGCCCTTGAGTCCTTGTGGTCCCAGCAGGGCCTCTCTGAGGGTTTCCCACACTTTGAGACCCCACTGAGGCCCAACCCCTCGAGGTCCAGCCCTCTGCACTGTCTGCAGGCAAACTCCTCTACTCCATCCTTCTGGGGGGCCACCACTCCCACCCTGTGACAGGCCTCAGGAGGGAAGAATCCCAGACCCCTTTTCTGTGTTAAGCCCTCATTATCTCTGACTTTCCTCAAGTGGAAGTGACAGGCTGGGCTCTGAGGCCCTTTCCAACAGGACCCACCCATTTCTGCTGTTCTACATGGAAAACTAGGAGAGTATGCACTGTGCATGCATGTCAGCGTGGGTACACAATGAAGGCATGTATTAGCATGGGTAGGTAGGTGTGTGCATGGGAATGTGTGCACATGCACGCACACACATGCAACATGCACTTGTATGTGTACATGCATGTGCACATCTCTGTGCATACTATACACACATGTATGTGTACAGTGTGCTCTGTGCATGTGCACATGCACCTATTTGTAGGCATGTGTATACACATGTCAATCATCCATCTGTCAGTTTGTCGTACTGTTGTGGTTTGCAAGTTGCTGTGAGAGTGGAGGCCATGCCACTGGGATTTCAAATATCAGCAGGGTCACCCACGGTGGACAGGGTTCAGTGGAGCTTCCAGGCTGAGAGATGAGGAAGAGGGAAGGGGCCATCCACTTCTCAAAGTATTGGCCAGTGAACACCTTATGAATAGCCATGAAACACTGTCCGATACAGGGCCAGATGAGCCCTTTGTGTTGGCACGCACTCAAAACACAACTGGGGAAGAGCTGCCTCCTCAGAGTAGTCAACCTTAATGACGTGGATGGAGTAAAGCTTTTAGAACCTTCATTTGCTGATGGGGCATGACTCAAAATGGGAAGAGACAGCAGCAAACATCCATTAATAATTGGAACATGGAATGTACAAAGTATGAATCTAAGAAAATTGAAAGTTGTCAAAAATGAAATGGAACACATAAAGATCATTATCCTAGGCATTAGTGAGCTGAAATGGACTGGTATTGGCCATTATGAATCAGACAACCATATGGTTACTATGCTGGAAATGACAAAATGAAGAGGAATGGTGTTACATTCATTGTCAAAAAGAACATCTCAAGATCTGTCCTGAAGTACAATGCTGTCAGTGATAGGATCATATCCATAAACCTACAAGGAAGACAAGTTAATATGACTATTATCAAATTTATGCACCAACCACTAAAGCCAAAGATCAAGAAATTGAAGATTTTTACCAACTTCTGCAGTCTGAAATTGACCAAACATGTAATCAAGATGTGTTGATTATTACTGGTGATTGGAACGTGAAAGGTGCAAACTAGGAAGAATCAACAGTAGTTGAAAAATATGGTCTTTTTGATAGAAATGACGCCAGAGACCACATGATAGAATTTTGCAAGACCAACAACTTATTCATTGCAAATGAAAAAGAGGACGTGCAGGGTGGGATATCGTTGATGTCAGATGGATCTTGGCTGAAAGCAAAGAATATCAGAGAGATGTTTACCTGTGTTCTGTTCACTATGCAAAGGCTTTTCGACTGTGTGCATTGTAACAAATTATGGGTAACACTGTGAAGAATGGGAATTCCAGAACACTTAATTGTGCTCATGAAGAACCTGTACATAGACCAGGAGGCTGTCATTCCAATAAACAAGAGGATAGTGCATGGTTTAAAATCAGGAAAGGTATCAAAAGGATGCAACCCACCAAGGGGGGCTGCTGCTCGTACTCTGGTTAAGGGTAGCTCAGAGGCAAGCGGGTTATAGGTTTTCAGCATAGCTCTTATCGTTTGCACCAGAAAAGGACAAAGCTCTGTCTCCCCAGACAAAAGCAGCAAGGGAAGTTTTAAAGCTTACAGGAAGTGGGGAGTTACACATATTCAAAGCGTTCGGGAAGTTGTCATGCCTTATTCCATGGGGGCTTGCTGAGAGCCTAACACGGAAGTGGTCGGCAGACCCCTTGCCTCTGAAACGGGTCTGGATAGTACTGATGGTGTGATTCCGGTGAGTTGCATTCCTTGACATGAGTTGTAATGTTCTGGGGTCAGCAAAAGGGTAGAATGGCTTTCTTTGGGCATGCTTCGGAATCTGCAGGAACCAGCTAGGAATTAATGGTTGCATATGGGAGGGTCAGTAGCAAATGGGGTGAGGTGTTTCTCTGTAGTTGGCTGATTGTTGCTGCTGTTAGGTGTCGTGGAGTCAGCTCCGACTCATAGCAACCCTCGTACAAAAGAGCAAACCACTGCCAGGTCCCGTGCCATCCTCACAATTCTTGTAGCCACTGAGTCCATCCATCTCGTTGAGGGCCTTCCCCTTCTTCACAGACCATTTACTTTACCCAGCATGACATCCTTCTCCAGGGACTGGGCCCTTCTGACAACATGACCAAAGGAGGTGAGATGAAGGCTGGCCATCCTCATTTCCAAGGAGTATTCTGACTGCACTTCCTCCAGGACAGATTTGTTCATTCCTCTGGGAGGCGTAGTGCCTAAGGCATTTGACTGCTAACCAGGAGGCTGGCGGTTCAAACCCACCAGCCACTCCTCAGAAGGAAGACGGGGCAATTCTACTTCTGTACTGAAACTGCCTCGGAAACCCAAGAAGGGGTCGCTATGAGTTGGATCCAACTCGATGGTAGTGAGTTTGGTGGGTTTGTTTGTTTGTTTGTTTCTGGCAGCCCATGGTATTTTCAGTTTCGTTTGCCAACACTACAATTCAAATGCATCAATTATTTTTCAGTCTTCCTTATTAATTGTCCAGCTTTCACACACACATGAGGTTATTGAAAATATGGCTTGAGTCAAGTGCACCTTAGTCTTCAAAGCGACATCTTTGCTCTTTTAACACTCTAAAGAGGTCTTTTGCAGCAGACTTGCCCAGTGCAATATGATGTCTGATTTCCTGACTACTGCTTCCATGGGTGTTGACTGTGGATCCAGGTAAAATGAAATCCCCAACAACTTCAATCTTTTTTTCTTTATCATGATGCTGCTCATTGGTCCAGTTGTGAGGATTTTCATTTTACATTGACGTGTCATCCATACTGCAGGCTGTTGTCTTTGATCTTTATCAGTAAGTGCTTCAAGTCATCTTCACTTTTAGCAAGCAAGGTTGTGTCATTTGCATATCACAGGTTGTTAATGAGTCCTCCTCCAGTCCCAATGCCTTGCTCTTCTTTATATAGTCCAGCTTCTTGGATTATTTGCTCAGCACACAAATTGAATAAGTATGATGAAAGGATACAACCCTGATGTACATCCTTCCTGATTTTAAACATGCAGTATCTGCTTGTTCTGTGAACTACAGCCTCTTGGTCTGTGTACAGGTTCCTCTTGAGAACAATTAAGTGTACTGGAATTCCCATTCTTTTCAATATTATCCATAATTTTTTAAGATCCGCAGAGTCAACTGCCTTTGCATAGTCAGTAGAAGACAGGTAGACATCTTTCTGGCATTCTTTGCTCTCAGCTAAGATCCATCTGACGTCAGCAATGATGTCGCTCATTCCAAGTTCTCTTCTGCTTCCGCTTGCATTTCTGGCAGTTCCATGTCAGTATACTGGTGCAACCGTTTTTTAATTATCTTTAGCAAGATTTTACTTGTGTGTGATATTAATGATATTGTTCAATAATGTCCACATTCTGTGGGATCATCTCTCTTTGGAATGGGTACAAATATGGATCTCTTTGAGTCAACTGGCTAGGTAGCTGCCTTCCAAATTTCTTGGCATAGCCGAGTGAGTGTCTCCGGTGCTACATCCATTTATTGAAACATCTCAATGGGTATTCCGTCAATTTCTTGTTTTTCATCAATTCCTTCTGTGCAGCCTGGACTTCTTCCTTCAACACCATTCGTTCTTAATTATACACTACCTCCTGAAATAATCTGATATCGTTCGATTCTTTTTGATACAGTGACTGTGTATTCCGTCCATGTTCTTTTGATGTTATTTGCATTGTCCATAGAATCCTTCAAAACTGCTACTCAAGACTTTTTTTTTTTTTCTTCAGTTCTTTTAGCTTGAACAGATCTTCTAGCAAGATTTTTAGTGTGGACACAATGATAAGTATTCAGTGTGGACATGATGACAAGTACAGCCATTGAAGCAACTAAAGCAATGAAATGTTCTCACCATGCATCAAACTATTTATTTGGTTTCTTTTTGGACAGTCACTTGAGCTTCTCAGTCAGTTCACAGGTATTATGAATCTTGGCCTGAGGTTTTGTCAAATTCTTCTGACTGGGGATAGGGTTTGACTGGGGAATGGTGAACCTAGGGAGTAATTCCTTGTAGCCTGATGGCAGAAGTTGTTAAATGGATTTGGTATGGTCCTACCTATTTTCTGGACAGCTGGTCTTTTGGGCTCCCTCCCATCAAAGTTCTGGTGGCATAGTGCCTAAAGCATCTGACTGCTAACCAGAAGGCTGGTGGTTCAAACCCATTAGTCACTTCTTGGAAGGAAGACTTGGCAATCTACTTCTGTAGAGATACCACCTTGGAAACCCAAGGAGGGGTTGCTATGAGTTGGAATTGACTTGTCAGCAGTGAGTTTGTTTTTTGGGTTTTTCCATCTAAGTTCTTACGAGAACCAGGTCCTTTGGTTGGTATCTATAAAATTCCCACTACTCGGCCTAGGGGGTATCAGGTTACCATACTCCTGCAGAGACCACTGTCCTTGTCCCAGGTTGATGACATATTTTAACATTTGTTGAGTTTCTTGGTCTACTAAATCACTTGTCTTTATAAAAAGCCTCCCACAGGTCAATTCAAATAGGCTTAACTTTAAAGTCCCTGTAGGGGCTGCTCTTATTCTAGTTAATGCTATGAGCAACAGGCTGACCCATGACTCTTGAGTCTCTTGGCACAATTTTGCCAGTTTTCTTGAGGGTCTGATTCTTTCTTTCAGCCTTTTCTGAAGACTGGGGTCTCCACACTGAGTGGAGTCTGTAATTTATGCCTAAAGACTGGGACTGGCCTTGAGTCCTTTTGGCAGTAAAGATAGGGCCGTTATTGCTCTGTGAGGTCCAGGGCAGTCCACATTTAGGTATAATTTCCTTTAACAACCACTTACAGACTTCTATTGCCTCTTCAGCCCTGGTGGGAATGCTTCTGTTCACCTTGTCAAAATGTCTAGAAAGACTAGATGGTGATTAAACCCTTTGTATGAGGGTGACTGTGAAATCAACTTGGCAGTCCCCCCAGTAGGTTCCTACCTAAGGAGGGGCTCCAGGCAGTGTGGGGTTGTTTCTTACGTATATTTCACATCCCCGGATACTTATTGTGCAACCTTGTCAAGTCCCTCCCTTGTACTGGGGTTTCAAGTCGCAAATAAAAGCTTTCTGGTCATAGTGGCTGGTCTCAGGGCTGCTTTACCCATCTCCATAATTGGCCCCTAGGAATATACGCCCTGCCATTTTCATCAATAGACCACCCATCGGCCTCTCTGGTGAATCCCAAGTTTTTTACTTAAATGTTCCCTTTCTCTCCATATGGCACCACACCATTCTATGTATTATAGAGCTTCTCCTTTGTTGGCTGCCAGGCTCTGCTAAGTGGGACAATCTCAGCCTTCTGGACCGGGGAACTGGCTGGCAGAGCTTGAGCCTCAAGCACGCCATGTAGGTTTCGTGGCGTAACCAGCCTCGCAAACACCCTGCTCCACGACACTGCTCCATCAGTGAACCACTGGCCAGCTGCACTATCAAGGGGCGTGTCCTTTGTACCAGATCTGCTGGGGGCCACTTCTCCTCCAACCTCTGTGCAATGCTGTGTGCATTCTCCTTGGTTGCAGGTAGGCAAAGGGTTAGCAGGGTTAAGGGTCTGGCATGCTTTGAAGGTCACCTCAGGTGAGTCCAGGAAGATGGCTTGGTACCAGGTTCTTTCTTCATACTGCCCTTAGCCTCCTGTATGCTTTGAAAGTGCTGTGGGGTGGATACTTGAGTTTAGAAGCTCCTTTGATAAAGATAGCAGTGGCAAGCACCTCTTATTTATTGCCCATGGTGCCCCAGGTCCCATCCCCAGGACCGGTAAGAGGCTTTCTCTCTAGCTTAACTGGCCTCAAAGATAAAAGGTTTCTAAACTAGCTGGCTTCACTGCCCACCCCCCACACCCATTCAATCTGTATGCTGAGCAAATAAATAATCCAGGAAGCTGGACCATAGGAAGAACACGGCATCAGGGTTGGAGTCGTTAACAATCTTCAATATGCAGACGACCCAACTTTGCTTGCTGAAAGCGAAGAAGACTTGAAGCACTTACTGATGAGGATCAAAGACTACAGCCTTCAGTACGGATTGTACCTCGACATAAAACAACAACAACAAAAATCCTCACAACTGGGCCAATAAGCAATATCACGATAGATGGATAAAAGATTGAAGTTGCCAAGGATTTCATTTTACTTGGATTCACAATCCACACCCACAAAAGCAGCGGTCAGGAAATCAGATGATGTATTGCTTTGGACCAATCTGCTGCAAAGGACCTCTTTAAAGTACTGAAGAGCAAAGGCGTCACTGTGAAGACTAAGGTGTGTCTGAGCCAAGCCATGGTGTTTTCAGTCACCTCAGATGCATGTGAAAGCCGGACAATTAATAAGACTGAAGAAGAGTCAGTGTCTTTGAACTGTGGTGTAGGCTAAGAATACTGAAAAATGCCACACACTGCCAGAAGAATAAACAGGTCTGTCCTGGAAAAAGTGCAGCCAGAATGCTCCTTGGAAGCAAAAATGGTCAGACTTTGTCTCACCTAGTTTGGTCATGTTGTCAGAAGGATGCCAAGCTTGGTAAAGTAGAGGGTTGGTCAAAAATGGAAAGACCCTTAAAAGACGGACTCACACAGTGGCTGCAACAAGGGGCTGAAGCCCACAGTGACTGTGAGGACAGTACAGGACCAGGCACTATTCCGTTCTGTTGTACACGGGGCACTGTGAGTTGGAGCTGACTCAATGGCACCTAACGCCAACAACACGCATGCATGTGTGCAGACGTGTGTAGTGTGTGAGCCTGTGTATATGAATGTCCTGTCTGCGCTATGCGTGTGTCTGGGTGTGCCTGTGTATGCAGTGTGTACATGTATGTACGCAGGCTCTGCAGATGTACATGTGTAGTGCGTGTGTGTGCTGTGTGTGGATGTGGTTGGGTGGGGTGGTGGCTGCGCATGAGGATTAATGAGGCGGCAGAATGGGCGGGAGTCTGACAGGAGCCAGGAGGCCTGCCCATGAGCCAACTGGCATGACCACCACCCTGCCCTTGGTTTCTAAGTGTGATGCCCATGGTGCTGTGCCCTCTCCCCACCTAGAGAGATGTGTCCTGAGCCCACAAGGCTGCTCAAGCCAGGACCGGCCTGGGCTGCTGTTCCCGGAACCCAAACATACCCCATGGCCACTGCACTTGGCAGAGCAGTTCTGCAACCTGTAGGCGCCCAGGCCCTGGCAGCGTCCGTCCCAGCAAACCTGGAGGGGAAGATCCTTAGGCACCTGGTCTGTGGAGCTGGCCATACAGCCTCATAGGGGGTTGTGTCTGCCGCACCCCTACAGAGGCCTGCCCCTGACTTGGCTTAGGACATGGACCACCCACAAGGAGGAGGCAGACATCCTGAGGACTCATGCCCGGCTGGAGGGGCCCCCTGGGGCGGGTGGCCCCTGCACTCACCTTGTTCTCCCCACATCTTGTGCCAACCTGCACCTTCTCGTAGGCACTGCTGTCTTCTGTCAAGAGTGCCTGGCAACGGCCAGCACGGGGCTTCAAGGCACAAGAGCTGCGTTCCTGGGGCTGCTGCCCACCTTCACAGAACAGGATGCCACACGGGTCAGCTCTGTGAATAGAGGGACAAGCCACCCTCAGCACATGCCAACCCAGCTCAGGGGAACTGGGCACAAGCAAGTGGGGCTGTGTGTGGGTGGGGCAGGGCTGTCGTGGGGTGTCCATACTTCTCCAGCCACAGTGATTCGCCTTCCTCCCGTGAGGGGCAGCAGGAGCCCCCAGACAACAGGCTCCTTCTTAGAAGAGCTCTCCTCAGCTGCCCCCATGCTGGTCGGGCTCCCCTCCCCAGAGGACCCCCCTCCCTGGCAGGTTCCCCTCCTGGGCGGGCGCCCCTCCCCTGCGGCCCCCTGCATGGGCCTGTGTGCCGGCCGGGGTCCCCTGATGCTCACTGGCCCGGGTTACTCCTGCCCTGGCAGCTCATTGTCAGGGTGTAGGTAAAGCAGACATCCACGGCGACACCTGCAGCTGTTGGAACGGGGCAGGTTAACGGGCACGGGCCAGCTGGGTCTGTGGGTGCCACAACCCCACACTGCTGCCTCACCTGGCCCCCAGAATTGTTTGCACTGCTGCTCCAGCGTGGGGCAGGCTCCGTTGTGGCAATAGCCCCCTGGGCAGGGTGTGCCGTTCTCTTGGAAATTGTCCTCAGGACACTCGGGGCCCCGGCCATCACAGTACTCCTCAAGGTCACACTTGTCCTTGGCAGCACGGCACAGCTCCCCACTTGGCTTCACCTGCCAACGGAGGGAGGGCTGAGGTTAGCTGCCCATCACGCATCCAGCCTCCCACCGCCAGCCTGGAGCTCAGCTAACTGGGCCAAGGGGTGCTGAGCCTTGAGAGGGCAGAAGGGCACTTGGCTCACCTGGCATTTGTGACAGCAGGCGCCCTGGGCACACATGGCCCCCTTGGCCAGTCGACAGGAGGTGGCATTGCAGCAGGGGTCGTGGCACTCCTGGGAGGGGAGACCAAAGGTTATCATCAGTGGTAGCCCCTCCAAACTGTGCAGCGGGGATGGCAAGGGTCTACACGGCTGTAGAGTGGGCCCAGTGTCCCCCACTTCCCCTAAGACTGCCCTCCTAAGACCCCCCCTCCGCCAGCTGGGACGCACCTGGGCTAAGCCACAGTCGCATTCTTCCCCACGTTCCAGGAGCTTGTTCCCACACACGGGGTCGCTGACCAGACGGCCAGTGTCCAGTTCGCCCAGCAGGCAGGCAGTCTGGGGTTTTTCAACAAACGTCTCGAGGTCCGCGCGGCTGCAGTGGCTGAACTTTTTGGGGAACTTGAGGCTAAAAGGGAGGGTCCCGTGGGCGGGGCTCGGGGTGAGAAGGCTGTGCACTGTGGGGCAGGACTCAGACTGAGAGGGCGGGGCACCGTGGGCGGGGCTCAGGCGTGGTGCAGATGGATCGTGCAGGCTGCTGCACCCCTCCTTGCAGCCTTGGCCTCACACCACTCTGCAGGGCCGCCCCAGGCCAGCGCGGGGCAGCTGGTCGGGTTTCTGGAGGCCTTACCTTAGGCTGGCTGCCATCACGCAGCCGCCGTCGTCCCGCGGCACCGAGCAGTAGCAAGCCTCCACGTTCTCATCGTGGTCCATGCCCAGGTTGTGGCCCATCTCATGGGCCATGGTGGATGCCACCCCAATGGGGTTTTGGCTGTGGTCCTGCGCATTAGGGGCTGTGTTCGCTTGGGTCGTCTGTGGCCCTGCGCCCGCCCCAGGAAGAAACCATGGCCTGGCCTCGCTCCTGCCAACACCTCTACTCGGACGGTGGGCACGGGCCTCTCCCTGCCCCTGCCCAGGCCTCCCTGCGCACCTGGTTCACGCCTGCTGAGCTCTTGGAGCACATGGCGGCCACAGTGGCCAGGCCCACAGTGGTGCCGGTGAAGTCCACTCCTCTAGAAGGTAGTGTCAGCGTCACTAGAGGGAGGTGCTGGCCTCCCACCTGGACCGCCCGGCACCCGTCCAGCCCGAGCGCCCACCGACGGCCCACCCCAGAGGCCGCCGCTGGCCCGGTCCCCTCCGCACTCCTGTACGGCCGTCTCCCGCCAGTTGGACCTGCCCCTCCAGACCACCCCACAGAGGCCAAGCTCCCACAGCCCCTCTGCCTTCCCTCACGTGATGAGCTGCGCGTTGTCATGGGCGTGTCGACCCAGCAGCTGCTGCCTCCGCCAGGCGTGAAAGTTCTCCAGCGTGACCTCGGCCGAGGGGTGGACCTGGATCTTATTATCCTTGTTCCACATCTCCAGGCCCACCAGCACCACTCGCAGGCCGAGCTCCTGGTACAGCTACGAGAGGGCGAGTGCCACGTCGGACTGGGCCTTGGAGGCCCTGTGGATGGGGGCAGTCGGGGCCCCCAGGTGGTCGAGTGTGGAGGTGGCCCGGACGGCAGAGGCAGCATCACCCCGAGTGTGGGGCCACGGTGCACAAGCGGGAACTATGCCTCGCTGTGCTGTTTAGAGACAAGCCAGACTTCCCAGAAGCCGGCCCCACGCACACCCCTCTGCCACTCTGGGAGCCAAGCACACACCTCTACACCAGGGTTTCTGTCAGGCGGGGGCTGCCTCGGCTGGGAGTGGACCCGCTGCGGAGGGGTCCTTGAGGCCCTGTCAGGCAGGAACCCACAGGCAGCCCTCTGGGACCCCCGGCCCGAGTGCAGCAGGTGGCAGCTCACCTTGTCCACGTGGTTCACCACCTCCTGCACGCGCCGACGCAAGGCTTCTCTGCCCCCAAACTGCTGGAACTGGAGCAGAGCAGGGACCCTCAGGCTCAAGCCCTGCCTTCCCCACCCCTCCCCTCGCCCGCCAGCCCCGCCCACCCGCCCTCCCTCACCTCAGTGGTGTCGGTGACTACATACAGCTCAACGTGCCTGGGCACCTGGGACAGTGGCCGATTCTGTAGGTGACAAGCAACTGTGAGCCATCCAGCCACTGCAGCCAGCTCAGCCCATCTCCACCCACTGACCGTGCCCAGGAGGTGGACAGCTGTGGGATGCCCAACACCGAGCATGAGTGTGGCCAGGTAGTCCTCTAACCTCGAGGAGGTTAGTGTGCGGACTAGCCGCCAGGAAGCAGGTGGGGCCTGCTTGCTCACCCGGGGCCTGAAGGCTGCTGCAATCCGTGGCCCCAGGGCACGTTCCAGGCTTGCCTTGCTGAGGCCACAGGTGCCTTGTTTCTGCTGCAGGTGCTGCGCCTGGTACAGGGCATGCCGGCCCTCCTCCACCCCGTCCAGGGGCTCGATCAGGTGGACAGCCGAGCCGGCTCGGAAGAAGCCCCTGAGGACACAGGAGCAGGTGTAGAGGTGCAAGGTGCGTGTGCCTGCCTCCCCCAGGGCAGCATAGCGGCCCCAGGCCAGGGACACCAGGGCAGGCCCTGTGAAGTCTAGGGGGCTCTGAGCCTCTGCCGGCTCCACAGTTACAGGGGAGAGGCCGTGACTGCGAGGGGGACATTAGCCCCTCTTCTCGGCCTCAGTTTACCTCTCTGCAGATGAAGGGAGGGAGGGCTGGGGTTCCACCCCAGGCCACAGGCACCCACCTGAGGCCCTCACAGGTGCTGATGCTGGCTGCCGAGCCCTTGTGCCCCTCCACATGTCCCTGGTAGAGGCAGTGATCCTAGATGGGAGGTGGTGAGTGGCTTTTGTGTCTGGGCCTTGCCCCTTCCCCCACATCAGGGAGGCTGCCCAGGCACTTACTTGCCCTCGTGGCTGCTCCACCACCTCAGAGCCATCGGCAGCCGTGTAGGTCTCTGTGTAGCCTGAGCCCAGCAGGTCCCTGAAAAATGCTGCTCTAGTTCCCTGGGCCGCCTGCCTCCCTCAGCCCGTGGGAGGAGAAGCAGGGCCCAGAGCAGCAGGGTCCCCATGACACCAGGACCCCCATGACACCAGGACCCCCAGAACCTCCAGGATTCCCATGACACCAGGACCCCAGGATACCTAGCACCCCTAGGATCCCCATGACACCGGGACCCCAGGACCCCCAGGGTCCCCAGGACCTCAGAATGCAGGTGTGTTGACCAAGGTGTGCTGCACACAGGCTCTCAGCAGAACCTTCGGCCTGGCCCCAGCTCACCTGTTCCTCTGCAGACGCAGAGTGAAGTTGTGCCTCCCAGCCCCAAGGTTGTAGCTCACACTATCCGGGTATAGGCCCTGAGAGCATAGTCCCAGTCAGGGGGTCAGCAGCTGCCTGAGGCCATGCCTGCCACCCACTGCCAACCTCTGCAGGGCTCACCAGGCAGGTGTGCAGGAAGGACACAGCCTGAGAGCCCTGAGGACACTTGAGGTCCTCTGAGCCCACTGGACTGGAGGTGAGAAGGCAGAGCCTGACCCAGAAGGAGCTCCGCCCAGGGCTTCCTGGGCACCTCACCCTGCCAGACCTCAGTTTAGCCATCTGTCCAATGAGTATCCAGTCAGCTTGGGCCTGCTGACTGCCCTCAACACTGTTGGCCACATCCACTGAATGGGGGCAAGTGACTGGGCCCAGGGTCAGGACAGATGTGCCCACTGTTCTGGTAAATAATACACACACATGCACACACACATACACACACAGTACACACATGTGCCCACATGCACATACTCATGTATACACAAGTGTGCACACCCATGTCCCCACACTCACACGGGTTTGAGGAACAAACCCCAGTGGCCCCACCAGGTCGTTCTCAGTTCCCTAAACTAGCAGAAACCAGTTGCCAGGAGTAATGACATTTGCGTCAGCCAGGTCTCCTCTCAGTTCCCTGTGCAGGGCAATCACCAGCTACACATGCCTCAGAAGATGCGTCATGGCCGACTCACCACCAAAGTGGTGAGCTGTCTCTATCAGTCAGAGACCCACCAGAGCCAACCGAAACTGGAGAGAGCGTCGGAGCCTGCCCGCTGCTGCCCTTCCCTTTGGGGGTCACCCCTGTGCTGATCTTGGAAGGGGCCACCAAGAAAAATAGGTCAGCTTGGGACCCCAGGACTCCCAAAGCCCCAGGGCCCACACTCAGCAGCTGCCACTGCCCCAGGAGCCATCATCTGCCTGAAGGAGGAAGGAAGATAGTGAGGGAGGGGAGGCCACACCCAGGAGCAGAGCCAGGCCCTCAGGCCTCTCAATTCTAACTCTCCCAGAGTCTTGCGGGGCAGCCCCAAAGGCCAGACCCTCACAGGGAGCTTCCCACCAACTTGTTCCATATGGAAACCAGGCCTCCAGTGAGCAAGGGCCCCCTGGGCTGCACTGCACAGAATCAAGACTTACCCAGTGGGAGGGCAGAGCCCGGCGGCCACGGGGTGTTGGCAGGCGCTGGGGCCACACCACCTGAAACTGGTCCACATGGGGTAAGGAGGGACCTGAGGCCATCACTGTGGGAGAGCATGGGGTCAGCAGGGCACGGTCTTGTCCTGCCCTTGGCCTCTGTCCCCGCCTTGTGGAGGGCAGGGGTGCTTGGCAGCTCAGACCAGCAACTCAAGGCAGTGTCCTGAAACTGCCCCACTCTACCCACCGCCCACCCCCTGTCCCCACGCCTCTGACCACAGGCCCCCCCACAGGCACTAAGAATCCCCAGCCTCCCCTGCTCAAGTACGTCATCATCCCATCCTGGCGTGTAGCTGGGAGCCCAAAGGGCCTGCCGCAGGTGCTGGAAACCCCCTGTGTTCTCAACTGCAGATCTGGGGGTGATGGGGAGTTCTGGGCATTTGAAAGACCAGCCACCTGCTGATGGGCTGGGGGTGAGTGGGACCACAGCTCTGAAGTTGCTGCCTATCCCACTGGGTGGTAATCCTTCGAGTGAGAGGTCCACCACCCAGAGAAGCAGTCCCTTCATTCTGCTCCTCCAGGCTGGGGTTGGAGGACCACTAAGCCCCCATCCTGGAAGCCCCCCAAGTGGGGGGTCGGGGTAGTAGCTGACCGGATCCTCCCTGGCCAGAGACCAGTCCCCATGCACCCCCTGCCCTCGGCTCCAGCGCACTGCTAGTCTGTTTGCACTTCTCGGCCCGCCTCGGGGGTCCGGTAGGCATGGACACTCCCCCAGACAGGGCGCCAGTAGCAGTGGGTGCAGCGGTCAGCCGCCCTCAGCCCCACGCTGTCGGCGCCCAGTTCTGAGACCAAGGCTGAGTTTGCTCTCAGCTTCCTTTTGAAGGTCCTGACTCCTCTCCACGCATCACCGCTCTGCGCGCCCCGTGCCCTCAGAAGACCCGTCGGGGCACAGGCGGGGCGCCGGGAGCAGGTGGCCCAGCGCCCCAGCTCGCGCCGCGCCGGGCAGTCTCCCTCGGACCCCGTGCGGCGCCGATGCGAGCCCTTACCCTGAAGCCAGAGCGCGCCGGGCAGCCAGAGCCCAAGCCCGAGGCTGGGGCTGCGCATCGTCGGGGAACGGAAGCGGGGTGTCTGGAGTGTCTTGAGGGGTACGCAGGGAAGCGGCTCCGGAAGGGGCCGGTCTGGTCCGCGGCGCTCCCCGGGGCTTCTCAAACCCACGCCCGGCCCCACCCCAAAGACCGGCCCCCGCCCTGCAGCCAATCGGCCGGGCGGGCACGGGGCCGGGTGGTGCCTCGCGGGGCACTTGGCGGGGCGGGGCTGCGAGGCCCCGCCTCCTAGGTATTCTGCCTCCCTTTGTGACCCCCTTCCCCCGCCCACTTCCTTTGTGACCCACCCAGGGGTGGCCCTGCAGGTCCCTGCCCCTCCCGCCAACCGCCAGCTCCTCATCCTGCCGTGTCCCTGGATGAAGGTGTCCCGGGGCAAGGGTGCCGTCATTACCGCCGTGTACCCAGCTCTCAGCAGAAGCCCCACACGTGGGAATGAGTACACAGAGCTGGGCAATCCCACAGGGCTCCCAGCCATCCGTGTGGATGAGAATCTGAGGCCAGGAAGTCACCAAGGACACAACAAAGGGCTTCTGCAGCTTCCGGCCAGCCCCACCCTCCCCACCTCCTACACTTTTGAGGACAAGGCCTGTCACCCCTCCCTCCCTCCCCCACCTGCTTTCCCCTGTTGTTGGCGCTGGCTTCGACTCATAGTTAACTCCATACAACAGAACGAAAACACTGCCCAGTCGTGTGCTGTCCTCACAATCCTTGCTATACTTCAGCCCATTGTTGCAGCCAGTGTCAATACATCTTGTTGAGGGTCTTCCCCTTGTTTGCTGACCCTCCACTTTACCAAGTGTGATATCCTCCAGGAAATGGACCCTCCTGACAACATGACCAAAGTTGGTAAGAAGTCTGGCCATTCTTGTTTCCAAGGTGCATTCTGGCTGCAGTTCTTCCAGGACATATTTGCTTCTTCTCACAGTCCATGGTATTTTCAACAACATAATTGGCAGCTACACATGTGGACCTGGCCAGATGGAACACACAAGAATCAAATCGACTATATCTGTGGAAGGAGGTGATGGAGAAGCTCAGTATCTTCAGCCAAAATAAGAGCAGGAGCTTCCTGTGGAACAGACCATCAGCAAGTTCAAGTTGAAGCTGAAGACAATTACAAGTCCATGAGAACCAAAATATGACCTTGAGTATATCCCACCTGAATTTAGGGACCACCTGAAAAACAGATTTGATGCATTGAACACCAGTGATGAAAACCAGACAAATTGTGGGATGACATCAGGAACATCATACATAAAGTAAAAGGTCATTAAAAAGACAGAAAAGGAAGACCAAAATGGATGTCAGAATAAACTCTGGAACTTGCTCTTGAACATAGAGTAGCTAAAGCAAATGGAAGAAATGACAAGATAAAAGAGCTGAACAGAAGATTTCAAAAAGCAGTTTGAGAAGACAAGGTCAATTATTATAATGAAATGTGCAAAGACCTGGAGGTAGAAAACCAAAAAGCAGGAACAAGTTTGGCATTTCTCAAGCTGAAAGAGTGAAGAAAAAACTTAAGCATCAAGTTGCAATATTGAAGGATTCTATGGGCAAAATATTGAATGATGCAGGCAACATCGAAAGAAGATGGAAGGAATACACAGTCACTGTACCAGAAAGAAGTGGTCAATGTTCAATTATTTCAGAAGGTGGTAACTGATCAAGAACCAATGCTATCAAAGGAAGAAGTGGAAGCTGTGCTGAGGGAACTGATGAAAAACGGGGCTCCGGGAACCCACGGAATACCGACTGAGATGTTTCAACAAACGGATGCAGGCCTTGAGGGGCTCACTCATCTATGCCAAGTAATTTGGAAGACAGCTACCTGGCCAACTGACTGGAAGAGATCCATATTTGTGCCCATTCTGAAGAAAGGTGATCCCACAGAATGTGGAAATTATTGAACAATATCATTAATAACAGACAAGTAAAATTTGGAAGATAATTAAACAGCTGCAGCAGTATGTTGACAGAGAAGTTCCAGAAACACAAGCTGGATTCAGAAGACATGGAATGAGGCCTATCGGGTGGATCTTGGCCGGAAGCAAAGAATACCAGAAAGATGTTTACTTGGGTTTTATTGATTATGCAAAGGTATTTGACCCTGTAGATCCTAATGTATTATGGGTAACACTGGGAAGAATGGGAATTCCAGAACATTTATTTGTGCTCATGAGGAACCTGTACACAGATCATGAGGCTGTCATGTGTACAGAACAAGACGACACTGCATGGTTAAAATCAGGAAGGGAGTGCGTCAGGGTAGTGTCCTTTCACCATACATGTTCAATCTGTACGCTGAGCAAATCATCTGAGAAGCTGGACTATGTGAAGTAGAACACGGCATCAGGATTGGAGGAAGACTTAACAACCTTCGATACGTAGATGACCCAACCTGGCTTGCTGAAATTGAGGATGACTTGAAGCACTAACGAAGATCAAAGACAACAGCCTTCAGTATGGATTATACTTTAACATAAAACTCTCCACAGCTGAACCTATAAGCAGCAGCATGATAAATGGAGAGACGACTGAAGTTGTCAAGGATTTCATGTTATTTGGATCCATAGTTAACACCCATGGAAGCAGCAGTCAGGGAATCAGATACGACATAGCATATCGTCTTCCCCAGAGCTGGAGGGCTGGCCCCAGGTCCAATAGCACGATGTCTCAGGCAGGTGTTGGGTAGGAGGGGGAGGCTGGCAGACACCAGAACTGCAGGCCAGACTCCCCTCTCCCCATCCATGACTCTGCCCTTCACTGTGCAAATGAGACCAAACCTCAGGAGGAAGAGCTAGACAGTGGGTTTCCGAGGGGCAAGGACAACAAGGTGGCAGGGAGGTGCTTGTGACAGCCCCATCCGGGGTTTGAGGAAGAGAAACGGGGCCCTCGCAGGCACTACACATGGTCTCCTGGGCCTGCCAGCCTGCAGAGGTGCACGCCCACCAAGGTCTGGCCAACCACAGCTCACCCTGCTCCTCCCACTAGCTCTCTACCCTCCCTGCCCCAGGGGGTCCCCCAGAGCCAGAGCCTGCTGTCTTGTGCCCTCCATATGCACCACCAGGGCAGCCCAAGTGGGCAGGGATCTGGGGGTCCAGGGACCTAGTGAGCTGTCCCTGTGCATATCTGGAGGCAGAGACCAGCAGCAGCTGCAGGCGGGACTGCTCTGTGGAAGTAATGAAGAAGATGACCCAATGGGCAGATGGTTAAAGTCAAGGCTCCTCCATCAGCAGTCATGGCTGACAGAGCCCCCACCATACACAGGCCAACTGGTCTGACTCAGCCCCACTCTTCCCCATGGCTGCCCACAAACCCTGGAGATGCAGTAGCCAAGTCCACCTCTGGAGGTCCTGGGTGTCCTGGACACAGGGACATGGACACAGGGGGAACTGGTGTCCCCCTAGGGCCAGATGGGCAGCCTGAGTGGAAGGTAAGCACTTGTAAAATGTCTCTGACAATGTGGCACCTCAGGCTGTGGAGACTGAGGGCTCCAAGAGGAAGTGGTCTGTGGTTTCAGCTCTGGGGATGCCCCCCCTAAAGGCAGCCAACGTGGCCAAGGGCTGTCCCTGGAGTGGAGCCCCCTCTGTGAGGTGACCAGGCCTCCCTCACCTGCTCTCAGGCCCCTCTGAAGAAGGCAGAAATTCTTGGCCACGTCCAAGGGCCCAGCTGCCTATGCTGCCTACAACAGCCCCACTTACTTCCGCTCCCACCCTGTCCAAATTCTGGTAGGTGACACAGGGAAGGGTGGAGGACCATCACACACATAAGGGCGTGTGCTGCCCCCTAGCGCCCAGCAGGCTCCAGGTCACATCCCCACAAGTGCTGTCTCCTCCAGGGTTGAAGGTGTGTGCACTACAGACCCCTGCACACACTGGCACCCGACTCCTTGTATCTCAAGGCCACGTTTTCATTTTCTCTTTATTTGAAACCAAATAATCAGAATCAAGCAAGTCAGCTCTTCATGAACAAATCCAGAAACACTGTCTGTACCCAAATGTATGTGCACACACATACGTGTGTGTGTATGTGTGTGTGTACGTGTGTGCATGCATGCGGCTGACAGCCTACCACGTCTGGGCAAGCCCCTTACATGGGGCTCACTGAGCAGCAACCGCAATCCTGGCCGGGGCTGCTGGAGGTCCCCGGGGGGCATGTGCATGCACAGCAGCTGACTTCTGGCTCCTCTCTGCCGACAGGCGCTCCAGGCGCTCCGCGTAGAAGCCGTTGAAATCCAGCCTGGGGGCGGGGAGGGCAAGTCAAGGTCCTCCTGGAGGACAGGGCTGCGAGGCTGAGGAGCCCCTGCTCTGGGCTCCTTCCCTGGGACAATGCTTTGGACAGCAGATGCAGCACCAGCAGCTCGGCCATGATGGGCAAGGAATCCCCCACAACTGAGGCTTGCAGCCCACCCCGGTCAAGCTCTTGGTGATCAGGACGGAAGATACGTGGCTCACACACAGAGCAGAACCAAGAGCTCTGAGACAAAGCTGAAGCAAAAACAAGTCCCCACCCCCATCGCTTGCATAGGCCTGTGCCCATAGGCATTGGACCCCAGCCCCCTCTGCCCAGCCCACGGGTGGCAGGCCCCTGCCTCCTCTACCCACGGGTGCTGGGCCCTGACCTCCTCTGCCCAGCCCACAGGTGTCAGACCTCAGCTTCCTCTGCCCACATCAGAACCTCTAGTGCAGGCTGCACCCCAAACTTATCAGACTAGAACTGCCCTGGAGGGCCTTAGGAATACCGCCACATGGCTACATCTGAGGCCCACTGTACAGACAGGAAACTCCTACGGAGCTGGTCCCTGTCCTCACCCTCCGGCCCCTCTTCATTTTCACTGCTCTTGGCTAGTGCATGGCACCCAAGGGTGGTGAATGCTCAGGTAGACAATGCCCCTCACCCTTTCTCCAGTCAGGGACCAAGAAAGCCTGGACCTAGAAGGAATATGCAGGGCCCTCTCTCCCTGACCCCCTCCCATTCCCTGTCCTCCTCCTCGCAGATGACACTGGCGTCATTCCCCTGGTCCCACCCCACCTGGAGATGACGCTGGCCACGCTGTGCTCGCAGTCACTGGTGCTGTAGACACTCAGCCGGGCCAGGAGGTCAAGGAGATGGGCGGAGAAGTTCTTGTCAAACTTGTTGATGGTGGCCTCGAAGCCTGACGTCACCTGAGGTGCATCCATGTGCTCGGCCAGGTGCTACAAGAGGAGCCAGGGGGACCCTGAGCTGGGGCCCACCCGCAACTCTGCCTGCTCTGCCCTGTGACTCTCCCCTTAGCCCAGGACCAGCCTCCTGCCATCTCAGGGGACTGAGGCCGATGCTTTCACCAAGGCATTCTAATCCTGCACAGCAGCCACGCTCACACACCCACACCCGCTGGCCACACAGGAGCAAGGCGGCTGCCCCTCTACCCAGGCCTGAGCCCCAGAGGCTTTGCCACCGCTCTGGGCAGCTGCAGCCCCTGCCCCCTGCAGTGTGCACCCAGCTCTACCAAGTGGCCATGGCCTGGTGGCTGGTGTGTGGCAGAGCTGAGGGGGACAGTAGTCCCTCATGTGGATCCTACTCTGGGCTTCTGTTTTGAACAACAGGCTGGTGAAAGCTGTCTTTGTGTTGCGGCCCTAGCCTGTCTGACAGACAGGAGGGCCCTGGATGGTGGTCAAGCATGTACCTTCTTGGTAAGCTTCTTCCGGGCATTCTCCTCGGCCCGTTCAGCCTCCGTGGGCGGTCCCAGCATGGTCCCGTGCTCCAGTGTCAGACGGCCCAGCTCACTGTCCAACTTCATGCTCTGTGTGAACCTCTGTGGGGGAGAAGGGGCGCATATGGGAAGTACCCCATTGATGACAGCACGCAAACTACAGGGATGACTGGTGGTGACAAGTGAGGCACATCCCGTGCAGGAGTGGCTGTCCTCGGTGGTTGGGGCAGGCAGACGCTACTGAGGAGGACCATGGGTGGGATCGGCCAAGTGGGTCCTGGCTGAGCTTCTAAATCTCCCCTTCACACACTCATTGTGAGCAAATTTCCCTAAAAGCGTCATTTCTGTTCATGGTGTCCCCATTTGAGGACCCAGTGTGGCTCTAGCATCTGAGGAATCAGTTCCAACTCTCCCCCTCCCAAGTCTGCACCCTCTGTCCTGTCCCCACCCACAGGGCCCTTCCCCAAGAGCAGCTGTCCTTCCTAGCTCTGCTGGCTCAGACCCTCACCCTCTCACTCATTTTTGCTCACACCACCATGGTCCCTTCCTGTCCCGTGGTTTTTGGACAAATGCTTACGGTAGACTCTCAGTACAGACTTAAATGAACCAGGTAATTCAGGTTCTGACAACAAGACCGTGAAGGCATGCAGGAACAAGTTTCCGGCCCAAGGGCCAGGGGACCAGGACCAGGGACAGACACTCCATGGCCAGGGGTCAAAGTGTGAGGAACAGAGGCGTAAGAGGATTGGAGCAGAAGTACCGCGTCAGCATCTCCCACCCTGTGTACTGTCATACAGTAGGTGAAAGGCACAGGTACACTTCCTTGAATACAGCAGATGACGGAAGGGTGAGCTGGGGCAGCAGTGAGCACCCCACCCTGCGTATCTGTATACAGTAGATGAAGAACATAGATGGGTAGGGGTGGGGTGTGTCCCAGCTCTGTGTCCTTTACAGCTGGTGAAGGACATAGATAGATTGGGGCAGCGGCCAGCACCCTACCTTGTGTGTTTGTACACAGCAGGTGGAGGAGTGGGATGGGGCAGTGGTGAGCACACCTGGCACACATGCACACAGGGGAAGAACACAGGTGGGTGCAGGCAGTGGCGGTCGTACCTGCATGCAGTTAGTGAACATGACGCACACGGACATGAGCTTGGAAAAGGCCTTGAGCAGCTCAGGGGTGGTCAGCATGCAGTCCTTCAGGCAGTTGTCCAGGAAGCTGGTGTGGTGGCCTAGGACATCGTCAATGTTGGAGGCCTGTGTGGAGGGGCCGTGAGCTGAGTACTGTGGGCAGATCATCTGGGAACTTCACCCATGTGGGGTTTGGTTTTGGCTTTGTTCACGTCTATTGTGTTTTGCTTGCTAAATGATCCTGTGGTCTTTTGGGGAAAATTTCCCAATATCAAAACCCAGAACCAAACCCACTACCATCATGTTCGTTCTCATATGTTCCAACCCAATACGACAAAGGAGAACTGTCCTGCAAGGCTTCCAAGACTTCAGTCTTAATAAAGCAGACTGCCTCGTCTTTCTCCCACAGAGCAACTCGTGGGTTTGAATCGCCAACCTTTGTGTCACCGGCCAAGTGCTTAACCAGCAGGACTTTTCCTGCAGCACCAGTGAAAGAAGATGGCACTGGGCCTGCTGCTCAGGCCCCATCTGTGGGTCTTTAAGAGAAAGCTGGGGGCACTGGCGCTCTCTGCACCCTCAGCTCCCAGAAACTTGGATGACAGGGAACCTGGCTGCCGGGTGCCCCAGGCAGACCCAGAAAACACTGGGAGGAGAGGTCTGCCTCCCAGAGGTTTAGAAGAGAGACTGTGGAAGATGTTGTGCTGCTGAAAGCATGGCTCTCATGCTGCAAGAGGAGCCAGGAGAAAGTCCCAGTCCATCTCTGGTGCACACATGCGCACAGAGGCTTCACAGAGTCTGTAAACAATCCTGCCACCTGTGCCGCACACAGGGCTTGGTCTCTTTTGCAACATCCAGAGGCTGTTACCACCCTGCCACCTCACCCCCACTCCCTCTGACAGGGGACCCTCACCACTCCCCCAACGGAGGCCTGACTCCTCTCCCTCTGACATGGACCCTCAGCTCCACTCCTTCTGATGAGGGCCCTCACCCCTACTCCCTCTGATGAGGGCCCTCACCCCTACTCCCTCTGAAGGGGCCCTCACTCCCACTTCCTCTAATGGGGGGCCCTCACCCCTACTCCCTCTGACAGGGAGCCTAATCCCTTCTCTCTGATGGGGGCCCTAACCCCTTCCCTCTGATGGGGGCCCTAACCCCTTCCCTCTGACAGGGGCCTGACTCCTCTCCCTCTAATGAGGGCCCTAACTCCTTCCCTCTGTTGGGGACCCGACTCTTCTCACTCTGATGGGCAGAGCAGTGACCCCTCTCTCTCTGGTGGTGGCTCTGACCCCTCTGAGGGGAGAGGGGAGGGCAGCACTCTGGGGACCAGCTCACGGCAGTTGCACCCTGCCACCTGGCTCTCCGCAGACCTGTTTTGTAAACAGCGCAACTGACGCGAGTGGCCTATGTCTCGGGACTCGGCTCAGACTCACAGATTTCAGGTTTCTCTCTAGGATGTGCCACGTTGGCTCCATGACTTCAAACATCATGTAGTACTGGATGTTCTGCACAAAGTTCAGCATCCGCTGCCGGAGGGTGAAGGCGCCCGCAAACCTGAAGGGCACATGGGCGTCAGGGGGCACCTGCAGATGTGAGGGGCACGTGGACATCAGGGTGCCCGCAAACCTGAGGGGTGCATAGGCATCGGGACACTGGCAGACCTGAGGGGCACGTGAGTGTTGCGAGCACCCAAAGAGCTGAGGGGCATCAGGGGCTTGCACACAGGGCTATGCACTCTGCAGGTGCTGTTCCCCTGTACCCACTCAGCAAGGTCAACAACACTCACAGCTGAAAACACTATTTCCACCAAGCACACGAGACCCGCCCACCTCTCCCCCAGGAGAAGTGACAATGAGGCCACGGTACAGACACTATATCCCCAGACTCTCCTGATACCTGGGAGCATGACGAGGATGTGGTGTCCTACAGACGTGACACCCCTAGACCCGACACTCCCCGAGGAGCAATGACGAGGGCATGGGACACAAACGTGAGGCCCCCAGACCCTCCTGACGCCCACCCAGGCCAGTGACAATGAGGACCTGTGTACCCACCCTAGGCCAAAAGCCCGGGTGAGCAGAGCCTGAGCTCTAGGTCACCAGGCACATACTGTGAGCACAATTCACCTCACCCCACAGCCCCGCAGCCAAGGGAGGCGCTCACTAAAATACCAAGATTGCAAGCGTGGAAACGGAGGCTCAGTGCCCACTCAGGTCAGAAAGCTGGCGAGCAGCCCACTCGGGACCCCCACACAGAGTGCTTCCTTCCTTCCCCTGAGTTCTTAGTATTTAGCATCAATTTGCTCTCAAAGCAGTGCTCTGTACCACACCTCCAGGTCTGGTGGCAGACTATTGCGCTGTTCCCCACACCCTGGGATGCTGCCTGTCCTGCATGCGGAACCACCGCCATGCAGCCTGCAGGGCGGGCCAAGTTGCTCATGTGGAGGCAAACACGCGGACCCTATGAAGCCTCTCCCGGCAAGGCCCCTGAAGACGGCGCACAGACACACCACTTGGCTGAGTGCAGGGCGTGCTGCTTGGCGGTCTTGTTGCTGACCCAGACACTGCAAAGCTGCCGCTCCACATGCTTGCAGTAGAACATGTGGCGGAAGAGCATCTGGTAACGGGTCAATGCCTTCCTGTGGGACAAGCACAGGACTCAGTGAGCCAACTGCTCTGCTCCCATGTCCCCACCGGCAGACGTGTGCGGAGAGTGGCCTGGGCTCTGCAGGGCGAGGTAGCCGCGAGCATGCACGTGTGCCACCTCGCTCCCAGCGAGCCCGCGTCCACGCCTGCAGCTGGCCCTGTGCTCACCTGTTGATAATCAGCGACAGGGGCCACTTGACAACATAGTCGAAGGAGAAGGCCTCGAGGCCACTCAGTGTGAGCTCCGTGGGCTCAGCACTGACCAGCGCCTTCTCTTGCTTGGTCTCAATGGCCAGGACCCGCAGGAGCTGGGTGATGAGGTCATGAGGCATCAGCTCAATCTGGGAAGAAGGGACAAGGAGGCATGGTCTTTAGAGGAGAAGGCCAAGGGTCAGATCCTAAGCCCAGCCTGGCCCTAACCTTGGACCCTCAGCTGGAAAGACAAATCCAGATCAGTCACAGGTTTCTCTGAAGACTGAGTATCAGATGCTGAAGGCTGGCTCAGGCAATCCCAACGTCTGCTGAATCTTAACCCAAACCTAATCTACTTTCCATAAAAGCAAAAAAGGAAACAGACAAACTCCAAAATCATGTTGCCATATAGTTCACAAACAACGCAACACACTCCACGAGGAAGTCAGATAACTTCAAGTCCCTTACAATAAAGACCACAAACAAGATGGAAAATTGATAGTTATCACTGTCCGCAACTCTGAGGCACTCAAACGTCTGTCAGCTGCCAACGTTGTGCCAGGGACGACGCAACACCACCCACAAGCCGACAATGAGAGCACACAAAACACAAGAAGCAAAGAACCAGACAACACAAGGACAGGAGAAACACTGTGTCACCAAATGCCACTGCTGAAGTCCCCCGGCTGTGGTCCCACCCACTGAGGCGAGGCCAAGGTCTCCCAAGGTGGTCAGTGAACTCCACTGAGGCGTGCACCGGTCACCTCTTCTGATGCAATGATTTCACTTGTAGGACTTGACCTGTGAAAACCCCCCACAACACAGAAGGGCACTGCCCAAGGCAGCCCACAGGCACAAATCTAAAGAAACAGAACTGGTGATTCTCAGAGTGCTGCTAAGACATGCTGCTGGGCACCCAGCCTATAAATCAGAGGGGCAGAGGCTCATAGCACGTCCCGCAGAGCAGTGCTCATTGTCTTGTGAGGGTCCTGAGAGCTCAACACTCCCTGAACTCCCCCTCTACCTACCTCTAAAACAAACTGTCTCCTGCAAGGGAGGTGCTACAGCTCAGGGCTGACTGGCCACGTGTTGGTCAGGGTGCTTTTGCGCCCCAGATCAGAATCCAGAGCTCCCCATGCCTGGACGGTCACGTGAGTTTAAGAAATTTCACTTGACAGGGAACTCTTTGAAGTAAACTCTTAAACTAGGGTGGCACTACATCCATAACACATGCTTGATGGCATGCAAGGCAATGAGCAGGTACCTGTGAGAGCATCTCAGGAAAGCAAAGGCCTGTGATAGGGCCCAGAGGCCCCCACTGGGTGTGGCAGTGGTAACAGCAGAACCAAGCTTCACAGCCAACCAGCCTCCACCCAAGGCCTCAGAGAGGCCCATAGGCAGGCCCTCAGTACCATGAGCAATAGAACTGGACCAGGACCCAGCACACAAAAGCATCGGGCAGTAAAAGGGGAGAATAGGCAGTTCTTCCCAGCAGGGCCAACAAGCAAATAAGAAAAGACTCTATGGGTACTGAGTGGTGGTGGGAGGCCGGATCCAGCAGGAGCCCTGAGGGGCTCTGTGGCATCTAAGGATCCGCAGGACTCACGAGGTCTTATGCAGCCCCCTCTGGAGAGATGGGGGAGGCACAGGAGAAATAGAGGCAGCATGCAGACTCCCTGATGAGTGGTATGCTTTAGTGACAAGACCTGACACATAACATCAGACAGCACGCACAAGACACCTGACAACACAGGACACCACGGGCTCCTACAGATTTGAGGACTGTCCCAGACACATGGGCACTGAGGGGCTGTCTCAGATGTGGGGACACTAGGGGCCATGCAGCAAATGTCTCGTGGGGGCCTGGAGCAGGGACAGCCTCAGTGGGAAAGTGGCCCATGCTTTGTGGACCCAGTTGCTACCGATGCTGATTTCTTGGTATGACGATGGTAGGACGACACTGTAGACACTCTAAGGCAGCCAGACAACAGGATCCAGAAACTGATCTACTCCTACAACCTAGTTACTTCAAAATAAAAACTACTCCAAGTGGCTCTTGTACCAGCAGCTTGTTCAGTGGAAGAGAGCTTATTTCTAGAATTCTCAGGCAGGACTTATAGTCTCTGAGTTTTAGAGTCATGGACTCTGAGAATTCTTTGAAGTCACAGTCCACAGTACAATTAAAAGAGCCCAGTACAGGCATGTCCACTCGCAGATCACATGCATGCGCCACCAGGCTGACACAGGGTCACCTATGAAACATGCAACAATAGAGAGAAAAAAGCACCTGGGCACCCCAACCTCATGATCTGGGGACAGTGCCTACAACCCCACCTGCTGTCAGGTGCAAGAGCTTCACATGGCCACCACCCCGGAGCCTGAGACCCAGCACATCACCCATAGGTGCCACAGCCTGGGGTGCCAGCATGGTCCTAGCCACACCCAAGAGCTGCTTTGACTTCTGCCTCATGAGTTGGCTCCAAGTCTGGAGTTCCTGCTGGCCTCTCTCATTATCTCCCAAATACCTCTTTAGGTCTCCCAGTAATTCCTGCAGGCCTCTTTCTCTCAGTGCCTTCCCATACCTCCACAGCCCCCCACCCCATGTCTCCGCAGGTCCCCTGTCATTCCTGTAGGCCTCTCTCTCGGTACTCTGACGCCTACCTTCAGGTCATCCTTGAAGGGGTCTGTGTTGGCGGTGCTCATGCGAAGGGCCAGTTCCAACAGGGCCTCCAGCCGGGGGGGCGTGATGTCGTCCACTGGCCTCTTCAGCTCCTCCTCAGTGAGGTCCATGAAGTGCACGAAGAAGTCCCCCTGGGCCATCAGGAAGTAGCGCTTGATGGACCTAGTGGCAAAGATGGAAACAGAGGCCCCTCGTCAGGCCATCTGACATGGCAGAGTGGTGTGGGCTCATGGGAAGGTGAGGCTGGCTACTGGGCAGTCTCCTGCAGGTGAGGCCCACCCCAGAGACCAGCATCTGCGGTGGGCGGGAGGGCCTGGCTGGAGTTGGACACACGGCAGAGCTCACACAGAAAGCATATTAAAAAAAGCGAGGGAGGGGGCGGCTCTCAGTGACACTGAGCTCAGCATTAAGGGTCCTCTGAGACACTGGACCCGCTCCCGCCTGGCTGTGAAAGGAGGTACTGATGGGGTGGAGGGAGCCAGACCAATCACAGGGGTAGGCTCTGGCAGGCGCAGGACTGAGGAGCCGTGTCATTCTGGACAGCAGGGACTCAGGGGCAGATACCGGGACCTTGAGGGCCCCTGTGCCAGTGCTGACACTCTCCTCATGAAGCAACATGAGCAAGGTGCTGGTGGTGGTAGTGGCAAGTGTGCTAAATGCTGTGCAACATGGTGGGGGGCAAGTGTGCAATGTGCTGGAGGTGAGTGTGCAAAGTGCTGTGCAACACGGGAGGTGTGTGTGCAAAATTCTGTGCAACGTGGTGAGGGCAAGTGTGCAGAGTGCTACGCAACATGGGGTGAGTGTGCAAAATGCTGAAAGATGTGTGCAAGGCCTCGCACAGTGTGGCAGAGTGAGTGTGCAGAGTCCTACACAGTGGCAGCACTCTAATTTTTAAAAATACAACCCACAAAGTGACCTCCCCTCTCAAGGAGCTATTCCAGGGCCGTGCATTCACAGGGAGACCAGACTTGACGCGTGTTCCCGAACCTCAAGTGTGCAACCAGCTCCTTCTCCTGCATCAAGAAGTCCAGGAGGACCTTGCTGGCATAGTTGAAGGCCTTCTCTATCTGCTCCACGTACGCCCGCTCCTTCAACGTGTAGGTGATCTCCTTGGCCACTGGGCATGTCACGTCGTGGCCACACTCCCGCACCACGTTCAGGTATTTTCCTAGTGAAGAGAGAAGACAGCAGAGGTACCACTGTGCCTGCAGAGTAATCCCAGGCCTGAAACCTGCGCACCCTTGTCTGACACACAGTAGCCACAGACAACGGTACAAGAACAGGGTGGACCTCTGTTGGTCCAATGGAGAGACATGACTCCTGCTAGGCTTGAGAGCAGTGGCTGGTTGCCTAATGAAAGCCCTGGGCAGTTCTCTGCCACGTGACGGCTCTGGTGCTGTGGCAGCTGTCAGAGCCAATGAACCCGACGCTGGTGGACTGACACACATTCTCTGGGAAGTGGGGACAGGGCACACACGTTGCGGGCAGCCTAACCCGGGGGGTGACACCCTGCTGAGCCTGCAGGAGAGCCCCTCCCACCCACTCCAGCTCTCAGCTCTCAAACCCACCTGTGCTGAGGACCTTGTCCGCCATCTTCTGCAGGAAGGCTGGGATGTGGGGCTGCACCACGGTGTACCGCTGGTCCCAGTACCTGTCATTGTAGTCCTCCTGGATCTTCTCCTTCCGCAGCTCATGCTCCTCCACCATGAACTCACTGCACAGGCATGGAATGTACTCAGACGCGGCGGGCTGCACACCCAGCAGCCCAGGCTGGGAAGGCAGGGCCGCCAGAGCAGGACGGCGGCGCGCCAGGCAGGCATGGAGCAGATAGAACAGCTACCAGGACAAACACCCCACACCCCACGTGGCTGCTCTACGACCTCACTGCTGGCTGGTGTCCAGGCTGGTGCAGACCTGGCTCCTGCTAAACCTAGCATTCCCTTCATGACGGATGCAGCAGCCAAACATGCTCATACCGTAAAACACGCTCCATGCTGCAGAACCAGCTGCGCTCCCGCCACACCTCAGCCACCTCTCACTCTGGCTCCGCACACACATTCCTTACTAGGCCCTCACTGGAAACAGTTTTCTGATTCGTTGGTAAAGAAACTCGCATTTCTCCCCTGAAGCTACTGCCCTAGAATCATCTTTAAGCCACAAAACAAAGAAAAACAGACCCTAACATCTTCTTAAAACTGAACAGTAGCTTAGCTTAACAAGCAAAAAAGAGTCTGCCTTGAGCACTTCACTCTTTTAAGAGCTTTCCACAAGGGATTAAGTTGACAACAGCAACTCTAAAGATTGCACAGGAAGCTCAGGGACAAGGAGTTCACACTAACGGGGTAGAACAGCTCAGAAAGCGTGTAAGGATGGCGGTACAGTCTGAGGGGTTAGTCCGCATCCCTGAATGGTACATACAGGAACCACTCAACTGGCCCATGGCTGTTCATTGAGTAGTTCATGGAGGAACTGGTGAATGGGTGCATGCTGTTGTTTGTTTGTACAGAAATTTTTTTCTTTATTGGAACCTTAAAGACTTGAGTACATCAAGTAAAAGCAATTTCTAGGGGAAAAATCATTAAAAAAAACCCCGAGTTTATGTATATTCTGAGAACTCTGGTGGCGTAGTGCCTAAGGCATGTGACTGCTAACCAGAAGGCTGGTGGTTCAAACCCACCAGTCACTCCTCGGAAGGAAGGTTGAGCAATCTACTTCCGTAGTGATGCTGCCTCGGAAACCTAAGTGGGGGTCGCTGTGAGTTGGGATCGACTCAAGGACAGTGAGTGATATACATTCTAAACAATAAAATAAATGTAATTTAGAAAACAACAAACCTGCTCACTTCTGTACCATAGTCTAAAAATAAAATTGACAAATACGTCTCAACAAACCACAGCCCTGGGAGCAGGGTGTTGGACTTCATGTACTTGGCCACGTCATGCTAAGGGTGTGCCTAGATTTTGCTAGGCGGTTAAGAGCCTCAACGTGGGGCTTCAACCCTCCTCATTCCGAGAACACAGCTGCTGAAGAGCAGTGGTACACACTCACCACTTCCTCAGAGCCAGGTGACCTCAGGAGAGGTGGCTGTGGGGCCTGCTGGTGACCTCAGCAGAGCCAGCTGTGACATCTATGTGGTGACTGGTGTGGTACCTGTGGCGGTGGTGGTTCAGGAACGCCCAGAGTGGGGCCACTGTCGAGGGTCTGCCCCGCCTGTGCCTCAGGGGCACCCACCTGTACGGGTCGTCGATGATCCCACGGTAGATCCACTTCTCCAGGATCTCGAAGTAGGGGACACTGGCGGCCTTGGTCAGGTACAGACACAGCTCTTGGGCCTGGCTGTCGCCTGTGTAGTTGAAGCTCCTGTCATGCAGCAGACTGAGAGTTGAGCCCCCAAGACACTCGCCCTTATCCACAGACGTAGCTGCAAGGAAGGAGGCCATGAGCACCTTCCCCAAAGACCCCCGGCCCTTGTCCAGGACAGTGGCTCCTTTAGCTTGTCAAGAGCAGTGGTCACGATTCTCCTACTGCCAGTCTGTGTTTACGTGAGGTTACAAAGGCTTTGTCCTCATACCCTGGCTTCTGGAAATTACAAACCCCGGGCACTGCTCCCTCCCCTCCCCACGATGAGCCCCAATTTCAGTACGAACTCCTCCATCTGGTGCCAGTACCACCCCCAGGGCTGCCATGCTCTTGTCCCTTGGGCAGTACCGAGCGAGGCCAGGATGTCCATGGTACGCATGGTGGGTTGGATGTAGAACCAGAGCTTCTGCAGAGAGAGCAGGCCCTGCCTCTGTAGCTGCTCCAGCTGAGTGATGAGAATCAGGTACTCCTTCACCAGGGTACGCATGGCAGCCGCCAGGGCGTGGTTCACCTGCCCATACTCAAAAGATGACTTCTCCTCGATGAATCTGCAAGAAGCGAGCACAGAGCACCCTGCTAAGGGGCACCTACCTTCCCTGAGGGAGGCTAGTGTGTGGCTGCCCTTCCTCATATGCAAGCAACTGGCTCACTCAGCCTCCAGTCCTGAGGGGGTGAGGGATGAGACATGTGGGATGGGGCACAGGGGGTGGGGCACATAGGGATAGGGCACACTGGCCCAGAGTTCCCTGGGCTTCAAGACCATCGGGAGCAAGGCTGGCCATAACCTGAAGCGGGGACCTTCTGGGAGAGAATGTGGCCCCTGCGGTGACAGGTGTCCTCTCCCTTTTGTAGAGCAAACCTGGGGTGTACCAGCTGAATCAAGGCCTGGTCCTGGCACCTACCTGGTCACAGTGGAGTAGCTGGCAGCCACAGGGAGAATTCTGTTTACCAGCTCCCTGACAGACAAGTCCAGGTTGGGGTCCACAAGGAAGTTGCGGCTCTGCTGGCCCGTGAGGGGCTGTGCAGTGATGTACCTGCCATCCACTCCGGCCAGCACATACAGCAGGTCCTCCACTACGGCCGACTCCTGGGAGGTCAGAGGCAGGGCACCTGTGGGGACGGCACGGTGTCTGCAAGCAGCCAGCATCCCTGCCCCGTCCCCACACTCCTATCCTTCTATCTGGTTAGTCGTGCTCTCTAATCCCCTCCCTGAAGCTGCCTCAGACAAGCACAGTTACAAATACAAGCCAGTGAGCTTAGCCTTGACTCGACCCAGGGGATTCTCTGCTGAGATTTCCACCCCTAGGAAAGGCACACCTGGTTCCAGAGCTGGTGACCACCGCTGCGACCACATGGGATGCAACAGCAGCAGCAGATCCACGTGAGGATCTTCTACGTTTTTAAAGCCTAAATTCAGGAACTTTAAAAGCACCACAAGTGTCGTATGATCTGAACATACACATCAGGTAGATACGTTCCTTGGAGAAAACAATCATGGCAGAATAGAAAGGCTGTGTATACACAGGGAGACAGCTCAGGGGGCGGGAGCACATGGAGGGAAGGACACAGGGAAGAGGTAACTATGGGGAGGAAGTGGGAGGGGAGCTGTTACATTATGAGAAATTGTGGTCCATGTCATGAGATAAAATGTGTATGAACTGCTGTATGAAAAATGAATTTGCTCTGTAAACTTTCACTCAAATCACAATAAAAATGGAAAGAAAAAAAAAAAGCACTGCTAGTCCAATTGGCACGCCAGTCCGTGAGTCACAGCTTGATGAGCTGGGCTTACTCTGGGGCAAAGCAGAGAACCTGCCATGATGCCCACTACAGGCGCAGAGCAAGGCCACTGCTGGTGCCACTGCCTCCTGGGGTTGCCCACTCTGCTCTGGCTGAGCTGCCCTGCCAGGCCAGAAGGGCTGCACGCAGGGGCAGCAAGACAGCACTGCCAGAAGGGCAGCTTCAGGTGAGGCACTGTGCTCCAACTGTCCTGCACCCAGCCTCACATCCGTACCAGCTTTGTGAGAAGTCCGCGGTCAGTCCTAGGGTCAGCCCCAGACCTGGAGGCTGGCAGCTCAGGAACCATCAGTGTCACCACAGGACACACCCAAACCCCAACTCACAACAGGCAGGCACATCAACAAACGCCCCAGTCAGGCCCTTACACACCTATGGGCAGAGCAGTGTCCGTGCCCACCCCTGAGCTGGTCAGGAAGTCCCCGGTGAGTGCGGACCGCTCATACACCCATGCAGGGAAGGTGGGGAGGTGCTGGCCCGAGTTCCTCTTGTTCTGCTTGTCTCGTAGTGTCTTTCTTGTGAGTTCCAGAGACTAACAGGGACATGTATGGACACAAAAACAAGAACATATGTTCACACAAACATAAAACACACGCACCTTCCAAGAAGAAAAGACCCATCAGGTCACATACCCAAGAGCTCAAAAAACCATTGAAACTAATGGCCTGTGAGCTGCCACCAGGCGCTGGGGCAGGCAGGTGGTCCACTAGCCACCATCAAGCCAGGTACTGGGGTCCAGGGGCCACACCACCAGGCCAGGTGCTGGGCAGGGATCCAGGGACGCTGCCCCTTGTGTCGGGAGCCCCTGGTAAATCACAAGCAGTGGCCGAGCCCCAACTCAGGAGCCCAGCTCAGACCTGACTCTCAGGAACCTCAATGTGTCAACACCCTCTCCTGACAGTGAAGCACACCCCTGAAGAAACAAATGTCAAAAACTGAGAGGAACAGGGGGCCAAAAGCACTACTGAGACCTAGGACCACCCTCAAGTGACAAGAACATGAGGCCATAACCACTGCTGTAACCAAGGCTCACCCTCGATAGACAGGAACATAGGGCCAAAAGTACTGCTGAGACCCAGGCCCACCCTCAACAGACAGGAACATGGGGCCACAACCATTCCTGAGACCTAGGACCACCCTCGACTAACAGGAATTGGGGCTATAACCACCACCTTCACTAGGCGAGTCTGGCTTTCCAGCAAATCGAGACCTACTGCAGGGCCAGTCTCTTCTGGTGGTCCAGGATTCGTGATTACAAAACAGTAAACCCTGAAACATTTGCTCATGGTCAGAAGCAGAGCCTCTGTCTTCCCTTCAGATCCACTTTCTTTTTTTTCAGTTTTATTGTGATTTGGGTGAAAGTTTATAGAACAAATTCATCTTTCATATAGCAGTTCACGCACACTCTAATCACACTGACTGTAATCTCCCACAATGCAACAGCTCCCCTCCCACTTCTTCCCCATAGCCACCTCTTCCCTGTGTCCTTCCTGCCCATGCACTCCTGCCCTGAGCTGTCTCCCTGTGCATACATTGCCCTTCTACTCTCCCATTTACCTAATGTAAATGTTTAGCTCACATGCCTGTATTTTGTTTAGCAGAAGCCACAGGAATGGGTTCAATTCCAGAGCTGAAAGGCAGCTAGGGGCCACAGTCTCAGTGTTTCCATCAGGCTCTATCGGACCAGCAAAACCTGGTCCTCCCCCTTTTTTTAAAAAAATAATCTTGAGTTTTGTTCCACATCGTTCTCCCACTCTATCCACAAACCATAGAACCGTAGCCCATCGGCTGCAACCCCAGGCTCGATGGATTGACAGGTGCCATAAGAGGGAAGGTGTGCCCCCAGGAGCAGATGCCATACCTGCTGTAGCGTGCAGCCTGTGGCCACACTGCCCAGCTGCCTCCTCAGTTCCTCAAGCTCTTGTGTGGAGATCCTGGAGGCCGAGGCAGGAACGCTGAAGCTGGGGCCAGAGCTGGCTGCAGCAGTGGCGGTGAGCTCAGCCCGCTCTTTCGCGTTCTGCTGCAAGTACTGCAGAGTCTACAAACAACAGAGCTGGGTAACTGGGGAAGGGTCACCATGCTTGTGCAACTCGGGGAACAAAGTAACCCCCACTGACTTCTTCCCCAATTCGAAGGAGTACCCTGGGGAATGAATGAGGGGTCACTCCCGTAACCAATGAGCTCCATCTAGCCTCCAGGCAGCCTCCTGGAGGGGGGAGGGCATCATCTGCTCTGACGTCCAACTCTAGACCCTTCGTACTGGCACAGCCAGCTCTGCCAAGTCTCAAAATCTCTTCGCAGCAAAGTCTCGCTTGTTCCAGCTGCCCCCTTACCTATTCTCAGTGCTGGGGGCCCACATGCACCACCCTCATCTTTTAGTCCTGAAAAGATCCAGGGCCACATGAAGTAAGCCTAAGCACCTGACACATGCAAGAAGACTCTTGAGGGCCAGCTTCCTTCAATCTGAACGTATTTTTCACTCAATATGAAAGTAACATGAGTACAAGATAAAAGACTCAAAAGAATGCAGCCTAACACACGACAGGCTTCGGTCTCCCCGCCCCTTGCTTCCCGGAGGCAGCTCTGCTCCACCCTGACTCCCTGTTCGTGCTGAAGGCGCCACACGCAGTACAGTAAGAAGCAGAGTGCGGAAGTGAGGCCACAGGAGGGGGAGAGGTGTGGTAAACAGGTGTGACACAGTGATCCCAATGGCAGACTACAGAGTTTCTATCTAACGGATCATGTCTCACACCTGAGAGGTTACTTAGAGCCACCATCCCTGGCAGAAGGCCCCTCAGGAGTCTGTATCTCATTAGCCTCTCGGGCCTGGAAGGAACGCCTTTCACTGACACTCACTACACTGTCCTAGCTGGGCCCCACAGCACCTCCTTGTCCTCTGTGAGCTTTGACAGCAGGTACACCAGCGGGTCCAGGCTCCGTGTGTTTTTAGACTTCAGCTCATCGTACTTCTTCAGGAAATCTTCCGGGGTACGAGAGAATTCTGCTATTTTAACCTTGACAGCATGAACATAAGCGACTTACTGACAGGAAGTAATTAAACACTTAACACACACCTTCAAGAAAATTAAACACAAAAACCGAGACACTAAATTGGGCAGGCCTGAAGTAATAACGAACTACTACACCAAGATCTGCTATTAAACCATGCATGCTCTCCTCTATGTCCCCTAAGGCTTACGCCAGGTAGACGCACTGCTGCTGCTTTTCCTGGCAGGTGTTGGATGCTGGGATCCACTCCCTCTGGAACCAGCTGTGATGCACAGGCTGGGGGCTACATCCCACACAACAACTCAGGTTGTTCCTTTCATAATAAACCAAACAGAACTGTGGTTCCTGGACTTTTGTTCTGTTGAGCTAACTTACCTAAATCACCCCGGAACCATCATTCAACTGAACTACAAAGCTTCCTAGTTTGTTTTTAACTAATGACTTTGTGTTCATCTTGTACTGAACACGTATGGTTCTGAACTACAGATCATTTAAACAAAGAAATGACACTTGAGAAGGATTTTGTGTGCCTGGAACCAGGAATGTGTATCCTCCTGAGACACAGGGAGGCAATGATTGAGAGTCAGGATTTAAGTCTCTCCTTGAGCCTCCACTTGTATCTCTGTAGTCTCTGTGAGATGGGGGAGTGACAGGAGATCTCATGAGCACTTGGTAAAATCGTAGGTTCTTCTAATACTGACACACAAAAGCTTTCAGCCTGTGCTGTCTACCATCATCACTGCCTGCTGGGTGGCACTCACCTTGGCACTGTGTGCAGAGACAGTGGTTGTCACATATGGGGTCCTATTCTTCTGAAGCAGGTCAATGTAGACCTCAGCCCCATCGCCACCACGGACACGCAGCAGACTGAGCAGCTCGTTGACATCATGGTGGATCCGGAACTCACTCATGGCTCCAGCTGACACACTGACATCACAACAGGAACCCCTAAAGGGAGCAAAAGGCCACCGACAAGACCAAACCTACAAAAAGCCTTGAAAAGTAATTGAGTTTGGCCACGGTTGGGGCTTTGTCAAGACCAGGAGAGTCCTGGGATGCCCCTGCCCCCCAGTGTCATACACCAACCTTAGATCTAAGCCACTATGCCTTGAACCCCAGCCCTTACCAGGGCTTCCACTTGGCTCTAAAAGCCTGAGCCTTTCAAATGAGCCCCACCCAGTGCTCTGGCCCAGGGCCATCTCCTCCCCCCTCCCTCAAGTCCACCCATGTGTGTAATTGCTTTCATTCAGATTCAACGCACCCCTGTGCCCCTCGGCTGGGCAGGGTCCCACTTTCACTCATCTGCCCTGCTGGGTCTGAGGGTCTTGCCATTAGTCATAAAACCGGCACCCCACCACGTAGAGAGCAGTGGACTGCATGGGGACCTCCACTCTGCCACTGATAACGGTCCCAGCAGCCATGACTACTGAGTCTCCTGACAAAAGATATTAAGACGAACACTTGCAGCAACAGAAGATCCAAAACTCAAACAAGGCGGACTCCACAGGCTTCACATAAGTGCTGTGGCACCCAGCGCACAGTCCCATCCAGACCTGTCTGTGACTCTCCTGAGGGGGGTCTTTCATCAGCTTCTCAAAGGGTCTTATCACCCTAACAACATGCAGCTTGCTCCTACGTATTAAGCTGGGGCTCCACGTCAAGTGAGCTAGGCTCTAACCCCATCTCACAGAAGACACCTTCCTGGTACGAAGAAGTCAGCCTCACGGTGTCTACGCATTAAACACCAGTCAAAGGCAGAATGTGTCCAACAAGCAAAGTGGAACATGAATGTGACTGGTAGTCAATCCCTGGAGCATGTATGTCTGCATCGAGAGGCACTCGTGGTTAGATGGGAAACACAGGGTGCGGCCATGGAGTCCCAGGTGGCCTCAAGCCTGACGCAGCCACTTCCCGGCTGTGTGCCTGGACAAGGAGCCTGTCCCTTCTAGGGGATGCTCCTCAGAAGCAAGAACGGCCAGGCTTTGTCTCTTATACTTTGGTCATCTTGTCAGAAGGGTCAGGTCCCTGGATAATAGGCTAAAGGGTCAGTGAGAAAGGCGAAGACCCTCAACGAGAGGGACTAGCACAGCAGCTGCGATGATGGGCTCAAGCACTGCAAAGGGGATGGTGAAGGACGGGGCAGTGTCTGTTCTCTTGTACACGGGGTCACCATGAACTGGGACTGACTTAACAGCACCTAAGCACAACCATCAACACCCTGTGGTGCCTCACCTGAAAAGGAAATGACACTGCCTCCCCACAGAGCTGCTGTGGACTAGAGACTGCTACCCAGCACTGGACCTGCCCACAGGGAGCCCTACAGCGGCCATGATGCAAAAGCAGAAACAGCTGCTGGGCTGTTACCGCACAAGGCCAACGCCCTGGAAAGGCTGACTCTGCCATCCATAAAGTGGTGGCACAGACAGGGAATGGGACCTGCATCTCTGACACCTCGATGACCAGTGTCTTAGAACACAGCGGTGCCCAAACACAGCGCTCAATACATGCAGGACGGGAAAACCCACAACGTTCCCACTGCCAGTTTCTTGGGCAATGTAGGCCGTCTGTGTGCTGCTGAAACAAAACATCCTCCACCAGGCAAATGCAGCTAGTGAGAGATAGTTCTGAAGATCAGTTAAGTGAACATTGTTTTCAAAAATCACCTTCAATGTAGAGCAAAACTCAAAATCATTTGGAAAAAAAGTGGGGGGGGGACCAGGTTTGCTGGTCTGATAGAGAGCCTGGTGGAACCCCTGAGACTATGGACCCTAGCTGCACTTCCGGTCTGGAACTGAACCCCCACCTGTGGCTTTCAGCCAAACAAAAGACAGGCCTATGAGTTGAACACCTACCTGAAGTAGATACACTCCTTGGAGGGAACAATCGCGGGAGAAAGAAGGGCTGTGTATGCACAGGGAGACAGCTCAGGGGGCAGGAGTGCGTGGAGGGATGGACACAGGGAAGAGGTAGCTATCGGGAGGAAGTGGGAGGGGAGCTGCCGCATTGTGGGAAATTGTAGTCAATGTCATGAGACAACGTGTGTGCGAACTGCTGTATGGAAAGTGAATTTGCTCTGTAAACTTTCACCCAAATCACAAAAAAAAAAAAATCACCTCCAAGAAACATTTGTGGTGGAAAAGAAGGCATGGTGTCTCCCACGCAAATGTGAACACTAGGAGCGCGTGCTGCTGCTCTGCCTGCATTCAGGGGACAATTCCTGCAAGAGGGCAGCCCTTCACTACAGGCAGGGCCATCCCCAGGGAACCTGCGGAGACCTGCAGGGGCATCTCCGGGTTGTCACAGCGACTCCAGGGCCTCCTGGATCCAGTAGACACGACGCGGGCCACTGAACGTCCACAGAATCACGCACCCAACGTGCTCCAGCGTCCGCACTGGAAAAGGAGCACGTTTCCCACACATCAAACGACCAGCTGACCAGACCTCTCTGACGCCTAGGGTGCACCTGCGCTCGCTGCCACCCAGGAGGCCGGCAACCCGCGTGAACAGAGCCCAAGCCTCTCGCTGCGCGCGCCCCCGAGGAACGGACGGACGGCAGGCACCCCGGACGCGGCGGCTGAGCGCTCAGAGCGAACGTCACCGACGACCTGCGACGCCGTCAGGAGGCGCCGAGTACACACCGGCCGAGCGCGAGACCACGCAGAAGGCCACAGCGACTCCGGAGCCCGCCCCGGCTCGGCCACGCCGCGTCCTGGAGGGGGACGAGCCAGCCCCGGCGAAGCACCGCCAATCGCACGCCCGGAGCCCGGCCTGCCCCGACGGCCAGGCCACGCTCACGGTCGGCGAGGGCACGGGGCCCCCCGGCCCCCAGGGGGCTCCGCACCAGGTGGCGGGCTCGGCGCGCTTGGGGCACTTTGCAAAGCCCACCGGGCTCAGCTCGGCGGCCGGTCTGGGCGGCCACGAGCGTGGGCGCCACGGTGTGGGGCCCCGAGTCTCTCGCGAACCTGAGCCTTTCGTCCCGACAGCGGCAGGACGCCGCAGCCCCGGAGAGGGTCGAGCGCCGGGGCTGAAGAGGACCCGAGAGGCGCCTGCCCGGCGGAGGCAGGACTACGGGCGCAGCGCGCCGGGACCACCACACTCACCTCAGAGCCCGCGCCTCCCGGCCCCGAGCCGTCGCAGCCGGCGGCGGCGGGGGAAGTGACGTGCGCGACGTCACATCCGGCTCCGGCCGGCGGCCAGCAGACCGTGGTGTCGGTGGCGCCCGGCGATGCAGCTGCCGCCCGCCCTGCGCGCCCGCCTGGCGGAGGGCCCCGGTGCGGCTGAGCCGCTGCCAGTGGTGCGGGACCCCGCGGCAGGGGCGGCACCCTTTCGTTTCGCGGCGCGCCTGGTCCGCTTCCCGCGAGAGCACGAGTTCTTCGAGGTGCGCGGCGCGCGCGTGCCCCCTTTTGTCTTCGTGCGCGCGCGCGCGCCCAGGCAGTTACCAGGTGGAGGGGGCAGCACTTAGGGGGCGGAGCGCAGGGCCCCTCCCACGGTGCGTGTCTGTTCCAGGAAGGGGACGTGCAGCGGCACCTGTATCTACAAGATGTGTTCACGCAGGTGGCTGAGGCGCCCGAGAGGCCCAGGTGAGCGGCTTCAGGGCCCGCAGCGCCGCCCTCTTCTGGTGGCAAAGCGCCACACTCACCCCACACCCACCCCCAAGCCTTGCCTACGTCCCTCGCCTGTAGGACCCTCTGCCAAGCCCGCTTTCTGTACCTCGCCCTGGAGGCCTTGGCTCCACTCCATCCTGGTCTGGGAGCTCCGCGCACTGTCGCCCCGCGCTTTGCCGCCGAAATACCTGTTGTCACCAAGTCCATTAAGACAGTGAACCGGTAGGACAAGGTAGAACTGCCCCCTAGAGTGTTGAAGGCTGTAACCTTTAGGAAGGCAGAGTGCGGCATCTTTCATTCACGCCACCGTTAACTGCTGCCCATCCCACTAGCAGCCCAGGGCTTAGCCACTGGGCAATCAGGGCTCTGCCAGACTTACCTTTAACGGTCCCAGGAAGTATCACATGCCCTGGACCACCCTCCGGGGCTTTGCGTAGCTGGGTTCCCCACCATCTGGCTTGTTTATGAAAATTTCATGCAGGGATAGTGGGGTTTGGAATTGCAGAAGGAACACCCAAGTTCTCACCAGCCTGCTTAGGGAGAAGGTCTGAACGGGCACTCTCCTCTCAGGGTGCCCGAGTTCCCCTGCCAGGTTGCGGGCTGCTGCCAGGTGTTTGACACCTTGGAGGGCTATGAGCACCACTACCACACACTCCATGGGAATGTCTGCTCCATCTGCAAGCGGGCCTTCCCCTCCGGCCACCTGCTGGACAGCCACCTCCTGGAGTGGCATGATGCCTTCTTCCAGATCCTGGCTGAGAGGCAGGACATGGTGAGCAGTCGGGCTGGGGTCTGGGTCACCATGCTGTCAGGATGTCCTCGCCTCCCTGGGGTGTGGGGCAAGAGCAGCAGCCCCTTTCCGGCTGGGCCTGTGCTTCCCCGGAGAGCCCCTGGTGGGAGCTCTGGGTCACTTCGATGGAGCGGCATGTTGTCTTTCAGTACCGATGCTTGGTGGAAGGCTGTGAGGAGAAATTCAGGAGCAGCCATGCCCGAAAGGAGCACATGGTGAGGAGTCACCTGTACCCAGCGGACTTCCGGTTTGACAAGCCCAGGAAGAACAGAGGGTACGTGCAGTGTTAGGTGCCTGCTGCGCCCACGCCACAGTGTCACTATCCCATTCCCAAAAGCTTTCAGGCCAACTCCAACATGGGGATTTTAGGATATGGATGTCACAGTTCGGCTCTGTGAGTTTCTTGACTTCAGCTGCGAGTAGCAGAAACCCAAACACAGGGGGGTTATAAGCCAGAGGAGGTTAGACGAGTGGGGGTGGTCAACGTGCACAGGGGCAGGGAGCGGAGCCTCTGGCCTGTCCAGACAGATCTGGTCCTCAGGTCTGCCCTGGCCCGTTTGCCCTTGAGGAGCACCCCTGCTTTCCTCCTGCTCACATGTCTGGCTCACACCTGCCCCTCCACAGAGCACATTGGGGCCACAGCCCTGCCACATGGAGGAGACAGCCTCCAGAGCCGGCAGTGGCTGATGTGGTCCTGGAGGCTGTGCCCAGGCTGTGAGCCCTTCCTGTCAGGCCCTCTGGTTTCTCACTCCTCCTGTGCTGGGTGTTCAACACCTAACTGTTGGCTGGCCATGTTACCTCCTAGAGTGTTCCATACATGGCTCATTAACGAATACACCCAGCACTTGACGTTGTGGGGACATACCTCTGGGAATAGTAGTTCTGTTGGCGTGGGGTTTTCCTGCTTCTTATTTTACTGATTCCTTAAGGTCACCTTGGGAACCAGCTGAAAAGTGCCCTCACCCAAGCCTTTTCAGACCAGCCCTTTTCCCACACGGTACTTGCTACTCATAGTGAATAGCTGTGAGAGCACTATGACAGGGAGGCTCTGCCCACAGTCTATGGCATGGTGTATAGTGCACATGGGTGCGGCGTGTGCTGACAGTGTTAGGGGTAAGGGTACAAAGACCTCATCCTCTGGTTACCTGTAGTGAGTTCCTCACAGTTGTGAAAAGGTATTTGCTGCCTTTGGTAGGTACTTACCACATGGCCCTGTAACGATGCTACTTTCAAACGACAGAGTAGTTATTACGGATAGATCTATAAAATACAGCATTTACCACATGAATGTTAACTTAACTGTACAGCTGTTAACTTGTGTTATTGTGCTAACACCCTCCTTTTCCCGGAAGTCAGAAGTTACACTCTAAGTGGACTGTGCCGAAACCATGGGGAATGCCTTCATGAAAACATGCTGTCTCTTCCCCACGGGTCCCTGTCAGGGAAAGACGGGCTGTGGGGCTAAAGCGTTATGGGCCACTGCTCACTGCTCTCTCCTCTACAGTCCAGCACCCCCGGGAGCTGTGGTGCCCGTGTCAGCCAAAGCCCTGGGGGGTCATGGCGAGCAGTCAGAAGACGCCATGGAGGTCTCTTGCAACGGACCCGTGGTGTCCCTGCCAGCACCCGCGGAGGAGGGCTGGGTCACGCCAGAGCTCCCCGGGAGGCGGGCCTATAGCCACAGGTCAGTGATCTGGGACTTCTTCCTGGACGCTTGAGTCTGGGTTCTGGCTCAGAAGGGAATGTGTCAGTGTGGCGGCTTCTGCTACAGGTGGAATCCCAAAGACTTGGGTTCCTGGAACCCTAGAAACACAGGCAACAGAGCTGCACCCATTGCATTCCTAACTTAATTGGAGGAGCCTGGCCTACAACTGTCCATGTTAAACTGGGGCCTGACTTTCTCGTATTGACTGTGCTTGTATCAGGTTAAAATTGATTTTAATTTCAATTCTGGGGAAAACGTTTAACAAATGGAAAAATCCCCGCAGATTTCAAACAAAAAGGAATTTGAGCTTGCACATCCTTTGACTGCTTGTCAGTTGCCTGGCTTGGCCTGCAAGCGAGTCTTGAAGGCCAAGGTGTTCAGACATGGGGAAGGGTGCAGGAAATCTGTGCCTGAGAGCAGGGCAGGAGCACCCTCTTGGTGGGTGTTTGGGAGAGTATAAGCCAGAAAGGCTGTGCCTGGGTCTGCATGTCCTACATTGTGGAGGCCTGCAGTGCAGGGCTTGCTAAAGAGAGGCTGTGTGGACTGCTGTGACCAGGGACTGATGATGGTCCAGGAAACTCAGCCACTGAACAGCTCACGCTCCCTCCAGGGTCCCTGCCACCATCTGTTTTGGTCAAGGTGCATCCCGGGGTTTTCAAAGCACCAAGAAGAGAGGCAAACACCATTGATGGTCCCAGGGAGCAGAACCCAGAGGTCCCCGATGGCCCAGGGGGGATGTGCCTCCCAGGGGCAGTGGTTCCGGGTGTGGGCTGCTGCTTTCCCTGGATCAGCTGTGAGCTGCCCTGGGACCCGACTTCGGCTGCCCTCTCTCTCAGCTCCTTGGCGAGTGGTGTCCATTACCAGAAGCACTAAGCTCATGCCTTCTGGACAGTGACACTGGCCACTGCCCAGGAAGGAGGTGGATGCTGCCGCCCACTGTACAAATCTTGGTCTGGAGCATGTAAAATAAATGTTTTTCACTAACAGTTTCTGGTCATGGTTTCTGTGTTTTTAGAGAGAGGGAGACAGGGCACCGTTGTCCCCAAATGTGGTTTCCAGCGCTGTTCTCAGAGGGTTTCGTGGAGCCCTAGAGCTAGCTTCTCAGGTTGGGGCTGGGGTGATGCCCACCAGACTCGGTGACCATGGATGGCTTTGGGGAAGATGCTCTGCCCTCCCATCCGTTCCTCATTAGTGGTCACATGTGTGAGGTGCAAGTTAATAGAGCCAACACGTGTCTTCATGTGGCAGCCAGTACCAGGAGGGGAGTCCACCCTGCAGGAGCGTCCGAGGAGGGCTGGGCTGCAGTCACGAGGCTCCCTAGCAAAGAATGTTGATGCCTGAAGCAGGAGGGTGACAGGGCACAGGAGGGGCGTTGAAGCAGAAGGGCAGTGGGCAGACCCGTCCTGGAATCCAGAGCACATCCCCCACAAACGAGGGCCAAGCACAGCAGTGTGTCATTGACTGTCATCACAAGGGGCCACACATGGCGTGCTTGGTTTTTGACAGTGAATACTGGCTGCAATCCCCACAAAAATGCCGGCTTGTAGTTAGAAATTTTCAAGGAGAATGTTCTGTGTCACCTAGAACTAGGGCAGTTTTCCATTTAGCTTTGGAGGAGACGGTGGTAATGAGAGCATTTATCTACTGAAGGATGAAAAACAAAACAGTCATTTTTTCTACAAAGCCCTTCAACAGAGAAGAACATCTGAGTGACAGAACCACCAGCCCCTGTTCTGACTCACAGCAAGAGAAACAAAACAGAGACCTTTTTTGACAGCCACCTGACAAAAATCCAGACGTCTACAGCACCCCCTACTTGCAAGGCTGTGGAAGACAGGCCCTATTATGGTCCATGCCATATGGTACAACCCGAGGAGAATTTGGCAGTGGCCTGCAAAATCTCTTCTGCAGCTGTACTAGGGGCAGATCTTACACATATGTTGGTAAAAATTGAAAAGATCTACTCACAAGATAATGTATTGCAGTACAGTTTTCAATAGCTAGACTAAAAACTTACGCCCAAGTCCCAAATGACTTCAGTAGTTAGAACTGAAATGTTTGGCACAAGATAAACTTTATGGTATCAGTGAGGTTAAGTAACATCCCTGCAGTCCTGGATTTGAATGGGAAATATCATCACAAGCATAACATTTGGTGCTTATATGTATTTGCTAAATTTGCCCTTTTTACTGAAAAGCTTGATTATTTTGTCAAAAATCCAAAAATTTATTAAAGAATACCAGTGTTTGATTCAGAAGCCACCAAACTAAATAGGGTCCCATTGGCCAAAGATGGGACAACTTCAAGAACAAGTGACAAAGACTGAATGAAACACAGTACATCCAGTGTGCTTAAATCCATGAGTTCATAATGATTTTTTAAAAACAGCCTCCTCGTTGGTCATTAGAGAGAATAATTTGAAGATAGCCTATATGACTATGAGACCAGAAGAAATAGATGGTGCTCGGCTACTACTGTCAACCACTTGGAAGAGGATCTATGTAGGAGATCCTGAATAGACAGGGAGAACAATGTGGAACAAAACTCAAAATCATTTGGAAAAAAGGAGGGAACAGGTTTGCTGGCCCAATGGAGCCTGGTGGAACCACTGAGACCATGGCCCCTAGCTGCCCTTCAGGTCTGGAATTGAATGCACACCTGTGGCTTCCAGCCACACAACAGACAGGCATATCAGTTGAGCATTTACCTGAGGTAGATACACTGCTTGGAGAGAACAAGCATGAGAGAAAGAAGGGCTGCTCAGGCACAGGGAGACAGCTCAGGAGTAGGAGTGCATGGAGAGATGGACACAGGGAAGAGGTAGCTATCGGGAGGAAGTGGGAGAGGAGATGTTGCATTGTGCTAAATTGTGGCCAATGTCATGAGACAAAGTGTAAGTGAACTGTTGTATGGAAAGTGTGTTTGCTCTATAAATTTTCACCCAAATCACAATAAAAAAAAAATAATAATAATTTGAAGATAGAGTAACCAAGACTATGCAAACTGGAGAAAGAAGAGGAACAAATGGAGTAAAATGAACAGAGCTTCCAAGAAACACGGGGCACCATTAACAGCCCCAATGTATGCTTAATGGCAGTACCAGGAGAGGAGAGAGAGGAGCAGGACAAAACAGGACTCCCCAAATTTATTGAAAAACACAACCTACATATCCAGGAAGTTCAGAGAACTCCAAGTAGAATAAATGCATAAGAGAATCTCAAAGATGCATCAGAGTAAAAAATGCTGAGACCCAAAGACAAGGAGAAATCTTGGAAGAAGCAAGAAGGAAAGGACAGAGCAAGGCAGCTATAGTGAGCCTCCTGAGCCACGGAGCTACCAGCTGTACCACTTGCCTGAGCAAGACAACACATGTAGAAATTCCTAACAAATCCACTAAAAAAAAAAAAAAACTAGTAGAACTAATGAGTGAGTTGGGCAAGGGTGCAGGATACAAGGTCAATACAGAATATCAGTTATATTTGTGTATACTTGCAGTATACACAACAATCCAAAACAGATATTAGGAAGACAAACCCGTTTACTAGCATCCACGAGAATGAAAATCTTAGAAATAAAATGAACAGAAGAAGTGTGTGAACTGGCAGCATCAGAGGTCCTCTGACTTCATGGGGGATAAGCAGCAGCACCAGCTGAAGGCTGATTCCTATGAGGTGAACATCAGACATACCTTCAAACTTTGTACGAATTTTGACACCAACTATCCCTCCCACAGCACTCTCTACCTCTCAGCTGGGTTCTGGGTTGTAATGGCCACGCAAAAGTCACAGACCATACTCATGATCAAGGGGTTTATTAGGGAAGCAACAGGTTGCAATTCAGGACCAGGAGCAACTCAAGATACAGTTCTTCAATGAGGACAGCTTCTGAGCTGTGCCGGCATGCAGGCTTCTGCTGCGCCTGCTCAGGCAAGTGGTACAGCTGGTAGCTCTGTGGCTCAGCAGGCTCACTGTAGCTGCCTTGCTCTGGGGACCGGGAAGCCCACCATGCCATCTTGCACCAATCTCCTGGCTTACTGCTGGCATTTCTCTCCTACTGAACTGTGCTACCACTTCTTACTGTCTCATGCTATCTCCAACAGACAGCTGCAAGCATCCATTAATAATTGGAATGTGGAATGTAGGAAGTATGAATCTAGGAAAATTGGAAGTTGTCAAAAATGAAATGGAACACATAAAGATCAATATCCTAGGCATTAGTGAGCTGAAATGGCCTGGTTTTGGCCATTCTGAATCAGACAATCATGTGGTCTACTATGCCGAGAATGACCAGTTGAAAGGAATGGAATGGCTTTCATCGTCACAAAGAATGTTTCAAAATCCATTCTGAGATACAATGCTGTCAATGATAGGATAATATCCATATGCCTACAAAGACGACCAGTTAATACTACTATTGTTCAAATTTACACACTACCACCAATGCCAAAGACAAGGAAATTGAAGATTTTTACCAACTTCTGCAGTCTGAAATTGACCAAACATGCAATCAAGATGT